TCAGTGATTGCCTCAATTCAACACATCTGGTCTTCCAGGTCGGTTAAATCAAAAATAAAGTGCCTGCGGCCCTCCCGGACCAGGGTTGCCTACCTCTGGTATACATCATACAACTAAATGCTTGCTTGCAGGTTCCTTCTCGACAATGCAACAACAATAATAAATAATAAAATATAAGTATACGAACATAAAGTAAATGGCAGTAGAATAGAATAAACATTTTAGCATAAGTATAATACAGGAAGGCACAATTTGTAGTCCAATATTTACACGTGTTTTGGAGAAGGGGGGATGGGGGGGCAAGTGTATAAATTGAGAAGTATAATAAGAGTCTGGTAGCAGCAGTTGTGATGTGTGTGTAGCATGAATGTGTGTGTGTGTATATCAGAGTGGGTGTGTGCATGAGTGAGTGTGGCAAATCAGAGCAGGTGGTCAGTCCAGTTCAAGTGTTCAGCAGTCTGATGGCTTGTAAATAGAAACTGTCTCTGAGCCTGTTGGTATCAGACCTCATGCTCCGATACCATCAGCGGCTGCCCGGCGGTAAGGAAGCGAACAGCTTGTAGCTGGGGTGTGTGGGGTCCTTGATGATGCTGCGTGCCTTCCTCAGCCACCGTTTCGAGTAGATGTACTGGATGGGAGGGAGCACGGTCCCAGTGATGAACTGGGGCATCTTCACCACCCTCTGGAGGGCCTTGTGGTCGTACTGGTCAGGACCCTTTCAATGGTGCAGCGGTAGTATTTAAGAGGACCCGGGCGGCATGCTGGATTTCATCAGCCTCCTTATGAAGTAAAGACGCTGTTGCGCCCTCTTGACAAGAGTGGTGTTGTTGTTGGTCCATGACAAGTCCTTGGTGATGCGCACAGGAACTTACAACTTGTGACTCTCTCTACTGCAGTCCCGTTGATGTGGATAGGGCATGTTTCCTGCTCTGCTTCCTCTAGTCAACAATCAACTCCTTTGTTTTGCTGATGTTGAGGGAGAGGTTGTTGTCATGACACCACAATGCCACTTCCCTTACCTCCTCCGTATAGGCTGAATCGTCGTTGTTGGTTATCAGGCCTACAACCATGGTGTCGTCAGCAAACTTGATGATGGAGTTGGTGTCATGCAAAGCCACGCAGTCGTGGGTGAACAGGGAGTACATCAGAGGATTGAGGACACAACCCTGGGGGTCCCTGTGTTAAGAGTCAGTGTGGAGGAGGTGTTGTTTCCAATCCTCACAGCCTGTGGTCTGCCCGTCAGGAAGTCCAGGATCCAGTTGCAGAGGGTGGTGTCCAGACCCAGGGCTCTGAGCTTGGTGTCGAGCTTGGAGGGAACAATAGTGTTGAATGCTGAACTGTAGTCAATGAAGAGCATTCTCACATAGGTGTTCCTCTTGTCCAGATGTGTTACGGCCGTGTGAATAGCAATGGAAATGGCATCTTCCATGGATCTGTTGGAGCGGTAGGCAAATTGGAGTGGGTCCAGTGTGCCTGGCATGATGACCTTGATGTGGGCCATGACCTGCCTCTCGAAGCACTTCATGATGATCGAAGTGAGAGCGACGAGGCGATAGTCATTTGGGCATGTCACTTTGTTTTTATTGGGCACTGGGATGATGGTGGTCTCCTTAAAGCAGGTTGGGACAGGGACAGGTTGAAGATGTCCAAGAAGACCCCGCCAGCTGGTCAGCACATACTCTGAGGACGCGGCCAGGGATGCTATCTTGGCCGGTGGCTTTGTGAGTATTCACTCTTTTGATAGTTTTCCTTATGTCAGCAAAAGCATAATGTCGTCTGGAACAGCGAGAGTCTTCCTGGATGGCTTGGTATTGTCTGCCTCAAAGCGAGCAAAGAATGGGCACCGCACAGCTGGATTTGCATTTGTAGTCTGTAATCCTTGCCACATGCGATGCGAGTCTGAGTTGTCGAATATCAATTCAAGTTTGAGTCTGTATTGTGTTTTTGCGTTCCTAATGGATTTGTGGAGCTCGTACCTGCTTGCCTTGTACGCGTCGCACGTCACAGAGTCATCAGAATTCGTTCTGCTGACATTGAATGCTGCAGTACGGGCTCTCAGCATGGTACGGATATCTCCGTTCATCCAGGGTTTCTGGTTGGGGTATGTCCGGATTGTTATTGTGGTTACAACATCATCAACACATTTCCTAATGAAGCCTGTGACTGGAGATGGATATTCCTCAATGTTGATGGATGAGTCCTGGGTGGATGAATCTTTGAACATATTCCAATCAGTATTCTCAAAACAGTCCTGCAGCATTGAGTCTGCCTCCTCTGTCCAGCGCTTCACTATTCTCTGTGTTGGTGGCTCCATCTTGATTTGCTGCTTGTAGGTGGGGAGTAGGAACAGGGAGACGTGATCTGATTGGCCGAAGTTGGGGCAGGAGGATGGCTTTGTACGCGTCATGGATGTTTGTGTATACATGGTCAAGCATATTGGATTCGCTTGTGGGGCAGGATACATGTTGGTGATATTTTGGGAAAATGTATTTTAGACGGGTTTGGTTAAAGTCACCCGCGACAATAAAGACTGCTTCAGGGTGAGAGGATTCTGCTGGCTAATGATCTTGTACAGTTTGCTGAGAGCTGCCTTGGTGTTTGCTTGTGGCGGTATGTACCCAGCTGGTTGAATACCAGAGTTGAGTATATTGTCTGTAAGCCACATCTCAGTAAAAACAAAGACACAGCATTCCCTGATGTCCCTCTGTGATTGAAGCCTTGCTTTGAGTTCACAAAGTTTATTTTCCAGCAATACTAGCCAAAGCCCTTCAACATTGCTGCAATAGAAGTCTCTGCCTGCAGCTAGCCACCTGACTGACTGTATCTATAAGCTCCATGAGGGGGCAAAAGGGGGGCTTAGCCAGGCTCCATCCGTCTGTAATATTTCATTTTGATTTATAAGGATGGGGTCAAGTTTACAGTTGAAGCTGCTTCACTCAACTCTGCCTCATGCCTTACCACCACAGAGTTTAGTTAGCTTCTTAGCTAGCTGTAAATGGCGTTAGTGTTATTAGCCTATTTAGCTCTAACCAGCTAATCTGCCACTGCCACCATGGATATCAGAAATCAAACCACAGAGGCCGCTGCCAAGCCCAGCAGCGATAATGCTGCCTATCTCCAGCTAGCTCTGCATGAAGAGCCCCCCTTCCCCCCTTCTACAAGTGCCCAGGATAATGGCTCCACAGCCCTCTCCACCTCCGACTGTTCCTGACGATCTTGGATCAGAAGAGCGAGCCCAGGACGCTGTCCATGGTGCTGATAGAGCGCAATGGAGATTTTGTGCCAACCTGTCACTTCTTGGTCAAACTCAATCAATGGTCTTGGCATTTGAAGTTTTATGTTTATTGTGGTATAGCGTGACATAAGCAGAATTCAATATAATTCCAATGCAAGAACCCAAATGACGCCCCTGCAGTCACATATCGGTATGTTTAATCTTAGAAATAGATACATTCTATTATGGTTTTCTTGGTAGCCTATTGCTTTTCGTGATTGTAAATGTAACTTTACATTTTGGAAACATGTTTATGGTAGGACGGCATTGCCTAATTGATTATGTGGGTGGGTCGAATTTGATCCATATAAGTGTATGGCGCCATATTGCAAAGTGTTGCTGAACTCATGAGCTGCACGATCTTCCATGATTGAAGCGAGCTTATAGGCCGTTTGTTTACTGTTAATGTAACTAGACTAAATAAAGATTGTGTCATGCCTTTATTTATCTGATATTTTGTTAAGGCCTACCGCTGTTATGCTCTGTTCGCATTCATTAGTTCGCATTTGCAGTTGTGTCGGTATTCTAGGCCACCTGCTATTCACTATTTTAGTTTTGCATGATTAACTAGGCTACTACTTTCAGCATTTCATTTTCATTATTTTGCTAAGACAGCTGTGTGTATGGCCACATTCACATAGGCTGTTTGTAATAGGTGAATTACCCTATCTATCTATATTCATTGCCAAATAGGCCTTGCTTTACAGGGAGGCGCGATTAGAACTCAGTCATATCAAGAATATAAACGTTCTGAGCTTTGATCAACGCTGGGAGCAATATTTAGATGTTGACCCGTAATTTATTTTCTTTATTGTGTACTCAGTGTCCTCATATGTAGCTAGACTACAAAATATGGATGAAGCAATTGATGACATCACCCCATTGTTTCCTATGAGAATGCTCAAGTGGCGCGTTTGAAGATCAGGAAGTGTCATTTCAGCTTGTCACAATCTTGCTACACTACTCTAGGAAGTGATGGTGCAGGCTAGTTGCAGGTTGCCCCCTTTCATTGAGTATCTCAAGTTGAATGCTGACAGAAGTACTGCAGGCTGCCATTAGCAACTAAATTATCCTTTTAACTTAATCTGTGTGTGATTTTAAAGTAATTGGTTCAAGGTCATACATCTGCTGAAATAAAAGCAATTATTAGTATCACGATCGTGTTCGTTTAAAAAATATATAAATCCACGAATATTGACCACAACGATCGCCATTTCCCCATTTCCTATAATGGGGATCCTGCTTTCTGGAAACAATGCCTGCAGTACCGTGGTCGGCCTCAACTTGAACTCCTCAATGCGAAGGCTGGAGTCGTTCTCCCCTGGTAGTTACGCACCTGCTCTGTATGGATATTTTTGCCCACCCCGACAATGTTACTTTTTGGGGGACTTTGTTGTTTTCATCCCGCACAGTAGGTGGCGGCAATACATATTTTTGGGTGTAGTCTGCCAATAAACCTTGACAAAGAAGAAGAAGAAGAAGAAGAAGAAGCAGAAGCAGAATAAGAAGAAAGGGAAGAAGGGACGAAAAGGAACCAGGGGTGTAAATATTAGTCCTAACAGTTGCAAAACAACTAAAACGAGAGTTTCTATTGGACAAAGTCAGGTAAATCCCGCCCCGTTTCGTTCCGTTTGCTTCCGTTTAACAAACGTTTTGGAACAGAATCGGCGTAATGAATACGCCCCAGTCCTTGGACGCCAAAGGCCAACGTGCTTACTTTCGTGACGTCATTGCTTGCGTGATGACGTTTTAATGGAGGTTCAGAGGTGGCAGCTGTGGGTTGATATCAATGACTGTCGGTATTTGGAATATAAAACTGTTTAAAAGTTAGTTAAAAGGCCCTGATTGTTTTTAAACAAGGTAATTGGGAGTTTTTGAACGGTTCACTTTTAATTGCACATGTCTTGTTTAGCGAACGCTAAGTCGGGAAGGTTGAAATTCAAGCCATATTAGGAGTTGGTTAGCCAGCTAAGTTAACGTTAGCTAGATTTGCTAGCCAGCTGCCAGCCACATATTTTAACTAGCTAGCTGACAGGTGTGCTAGGGTTGGGCATTATAAAAGGTGATGAAACACTATGATATCATTGTAACTGAAGAGAAACGCATCCTGTTCCCACTCTAGGTTTGCAGTTTCCTATATGGGGGGTGAGCTAGCAGAAGTGCTTGCTAGCTAACTAGCTAGTAGGCTAGTGGGACAGGTAGCTTAGTTTGATAACTAGATGGGTGCCTGTCATCACAGCCTGCTAAAAAGGTAGCTGGCCAGTTATTTGCCCCAGTAACATCAAAACATAGTAATGTCCTCCTAACAGCTATATTGTTAGCTACAGCATTAGCTATCTGGCTCAGTCAGTAAGTTACACAGTATCTTAGCTAGCTAGATGTTTTAATGTAAGCATTGAGTATGTGGCAAGAAATCTCACAGGGTTATTGTGTAGTCTGACATTGTTTGTTGTTTATCCCCAGGTCAAACAAATAAAGAAGGACCACAATTCCATGGTCAGTTTCTCTAAGGAGAGTTAGTTTGTTTTTGATGCCTTGCATGTAGAGCAGGCACTATGCCAGCGGCTACTGTGGATCATAGCCAAAGAATATGTGAGGTTTGGGCTGACAACCTGGATGAAGAACTCAAAAGGATCCGCCAGGTCATTCGAAAATACAACTACATTGCCATGGTAAGTTATGAAGAGTTCTGATCAAAGGCATCTTGGTTGACACTGACAGATATGTGCTGAACATTACGTGCCGCTGCTCCATTTTTGCCTTCTCTATTGCTTTGTGTTCTGTTCGTAGGACACAGAGTTTCCAGGTGTAGTTGCGAGACCGATTGGAGAGTTCAGAAGCAATGCTGACTACCAGTACCAGTTACTGCGATGTAATGTAGACTTGCTAAAGATTATCCAGCTGGGCCTTACCTTTATGAATGAACAGGGTGAATATCCACCAGGAACTTCAACATGGCAGTTCAATTTTAAGTTTAACCTCACGTAAGCATTCCCCTTTCTATGATGTCTATCATTTTTCGACTTATTGTATCAAGACTTGACTTGCCCATGTTATAGAGGCCTCAGCTATGCCTCTTGTACAGCACCAACAGAACAGGGGAAGTTTCATAGCAACGGTTCTTTGGAGGCACTAGGAGAAAAGGAAGAACCTTTCTTTCTTTTTTTACCATGGAAGGTTTTAAAGATGATTGTAACGTTTACATGCATGTATTGTCTGGTACTTTCTTGAGGAATTAAATTTTTTATAACTTGAAATCTCTGCATTAAAGTTAACTACAAAAAGGAAGTCCATTTGATGTAGTCTGTTATTGAGGTGATATTATTGTAGTACAAGTTTGACTAGCCTACATTTCTGCACTGATGGGCAAAGGCACAAACAAACCTGCTCATATGATGTATGAAACCAAGGTAGAACAGGCCTATGTTCAGTGTTGATACTCCACACAATCAGGGTCACGCTCATGGCTAGCTCCGGTCCAGGCCATTTGAAGGATCAGTGTCAGCAAGCCACATTGAACGCCCTGGACCAGAGCTAGCTCAGGACCTCCATATGGGAGTGAACGTTGTCACACTGCAGCTGCACTGCCTGCACACCGTTCAGGTAAAGGAAAATGTGACCAAGATTGTTTAGAAACCATGCGGCCAAGACTTTCACTTGAGCCACCTAATAGGCTGCACCTGTCACATGAGAAGCTGCTTACGTTCCCAACGAGCTAATTTACTTGCTTTTCTCCTAGTGCCTCTCCAAAGTCATTTTTCAAATGTTTATATGGACATATTTCATAAATGCATTCTCTCTTTACTTTCAAGCATATCGCAGGTACTGGGTTTTATTTTCTTGTTTGTTTTGGTGCAGCACTGAAGACAGTGTTTTCAGGAGTATTTAGTTGTTTACATGTAACTTGTTTATATTGTGGAAGTAAAACTAAAGGCTTATCAGCAGTGTATCAGACATTGAAGAAGAGATATAGTTGTACTGCGTCCACTTACACAGCAACAACAACTTAGTCACGCCAGTATGAAAATGTATGCACTCACTAACTGTAAGTCGCTCTGGATAAGAGCGTCTGCTAAATGACTAAAATGTAAATAAATGCTTAGTGTACCCCTTGTTCTTATAGCCGTTACATTCATTGCTATAAATCATGGGTATTTAAACCTTTTCAGCTCTTGATACAAAATAGAAATGTACTATTCTCCCGTGACCCAAATCTTCCTCTAACGACCCAAATTAAGAAGAAATGGTGTTATTATAGATGTATTCTCATAACTCGTGACCCACCTCTCACATGACCAGGGCCCACTTTGGGTCCCGTCCCATAGTTTAAGAAACCCTGCTATAAATGTGTAGCCTAGGTGTGAGTGTGACATGTCTCTCTTTCCGTCGTTAGGGAGGACATGTATGCACAGGACTCCATCGAGCTCTTGACGACATCAGGCATCCAGTTCAAGAAGCACGAGGAGGAGGGGATCGAGACATTGTACTTGGCTGAACTGCTCATGACCTCAGGCGTGGTGCTCTGTGAGGGCGTCAAGTGGCTTTCTTTCCACAGGTAGGCCATTTCTAAGCACACATCTGTTAAAGACTTGGCCATTATTAAATTAAAATCAATCATCTTAGACCTAAGCATTTTGTTTATTTTTCTGTTTGCAGTGGCTATGACTTTGGATATCTGATCAAGATTCTGTCCAACTCTAACCTGCCCGAAGAGGAAGTGGACTTCTTTGAGATCCTTCGCCTGTTCTTCCCCATCATATATGATGTCAAGTACCTCATGAAGAGCTGTAAAAACCTCAAGGTAACTTCAGCACATCATAACAAAGAAAGTATTACTCAGCTCTGTATGCAATGAGTTTTCAGAGAGCTAACTAGGCCAGAAGTTTTGATTGATAGTCTTTAAATGCATTAGAGACATGGCTAGATTAGCAGAATATGTGAGTGATTGACAGGGTGTGGTTTGATTGACAGGGTGGGCTACAGGAAGTGGCAGAGCAGCTGGAGCTGGAGAGGATTGGCCCCCAGCACCAAGCTGGCTCAGACTCACTACTGACAGGCATGGCATTCTTCAAGATGAGAGAGGTACTCTATCCATGGGTGTCTCCCAAATGGAACCCTATTCAATATATAGTTCACAACTTTTGACCAAAGGCCTATGGGCCCAGATCAAAAGTAGTGCCCTATAAAGGGAATAGGGTGAGATATGTTTGTGTGAATGGATCATAGAACAGGGAGATTACTCACAACTTGCATTTCTTCAAAGAGCCACCAGATGTTATTAAAAACATATATTCCTTTCAGTAACCATGTTTCCATCCACAGTTTTTATGGGAGTAAAGTCATACCATATAAAAAAAAATCCTGACAGCTGTGATGGAAACAGGACATTTCGGTAAATTTTTATAAATTCCGACAGATAATTTGTTTGTTTGACATGGTAGGATCTTTTTGTGTCTGTAAAATTAATTATGCGAGAAATTGCGGTGGAAACAAATATGAATATAATAACCATCATATCAACGTAAACGTGTGTGGTCCTTTTTATCCACTATGTCGGTTTGGTGGAAACACACCACTGGTGGGAAAATTCACATTTTCTTTGCGGATTTTAGAATATTCGCATGACAATCTGTCGCCAATTGGATGGAAACCTAGCTACATATACATTTATCTGAGTCAATATATAGCTCCAAATGACTGTTGGAACAAACTAGTATACTTCTTCCTGTATCTGATGACATCACATATTTTCTTAGATGTTCTTTGAGGATCATATCGACGATGCAAAGTACTGTGGTCACTTGTACGGGCTGGGTTCAGGCTCTGCATACGTCCAGAATGGCACAGGGAACGCCTACGAAGAGGAAGCCAACAAACAGCTGTCATGACAGCATCACTGGGATCTCTCTGGATGGTCTGCTCCAGTCAGTTACTTCGACGACTGGAATAATGAAAGAACAAAAGCATATATACCATTTAGGAAGCTCTTTGTCATAAGCTCTTCTCACTTTAGATGGTTGGTGAATTTGGTGGTTCAATAGGAACTATCTCCACACGTACCCAAGGTGTGTGTGTGCTTAATATCATGTAGTTTTTTCTATGAAAGCAGGTTAGAGGGGCTGGTTGGTTCATTTAGATTTCACATAAAGCGCTTGAAGAGAAAACAAGGGATTTTAGTTTTTCAAACATTTTCTGTAGACATTTTGCACTTTAAAGCTCCTAAGCAGATCCTTGATTTTATATGAAAAGCTAACAGTTTTTCTGGAATGTTCCTCTTCGTTGCCTTCTCTTCTTTTTCACTTAACATCTTTATTATGAAAACAACTTTTTCCTTTTTTCCACCAAACTCAGCCTTAATTGTAGCTACATTTGTTATTTTAATATTTAATTTATTGTACTGGTTGGTTGTTTTCATGTGATGAGACTCCCCCACCCCCCACCCCCCTCTCATTACATCATTCATATGTTTAAAAAAAAAATGCAATATACAAGAGATTGTTTTTAAAGCTTTTGTAAATAAAGGCTTCAAACTTTTCTAACATATAACAACTTGATTTGAGTGAGTTTGAGATCTATGTTTAACAGTGATATTTTTTATTATATACCTTATAGGTTATTGAGACCGATATGGGAGAAAGGTACAAGAACAGTCAATAATAGTGATATAAACAGACTGAACATGGCATCACTGTATTTATCTGATAAGGCATCACAGTACAGTACATAGCCTCACATGTTCATAAAGGTAATTTTCTCCATATCATGCACAGATAAAATATTTTAAAAAATATATAGATTGACAAGGTTTTAGCTCTAATGCATTTCAAAACAAGCATACATTTGAGCCATTTACCAAAAGGAAAACTGATGCTGATGAGTCATTTCCAAACACAAAATGTAATTTAAAAGGACCACAGGAGTACAATCAGAACAGAACCCTCACAAGGTATGGAACAGCTGGAGCAATCACTGTATTATTTCTGCAGCACTTCCATATTTGAATGGAGTTGAATTGAGAATGCAGCAAACGTTCTGAAACCGAGGCTTGGTTTTGAAGATCATAGGCCAGTGTGTCAGGCCTCTGGAGAAAAACAGGATATTTGGCTGGCAGTTTGACAATAAACAACATTACAGGAGCACTTGACATGGCAAGCACACTGACACATCAAAAAGAAGACCGGTTGGTGATGTCTAAAAGCCAATGGTATCCTCACCGATGCCACAGGAACACACAGGAATCCTTTCAAATCAAAGAATATCAATATAGCCCTTATTAAAATGATTGTTATGCAACAGTGATTTTACAACGTTTACAAGAGAGAAAAACTGGTATAATACATGAAACTGCGGAAACTCAACTATTTACTTTCTTATGTTTTGTTAACATCCTGAGTATGAAGCATGCATCAGTTAATTCAAGGATTTTTCTTTTTTATCACAACAGGTGGTAAATGTGTTGATCATCTCTGCAATACCTCTTTCATGTTCAGTGCCATAAAAAGCCTAACACTGCATATCTTGTCCAAGTATCACACACAGAAAGCAGCTTTTACTCTTAAAAGAGGTCTATACAATCATAGAATCAACATTCACTATTATCATATCTTTTGCATGTTAGGTTAGGGTTAAGTTTTGGCAAATTCTAAAATTACATTCAAATGGAATATTTAAACTGTTTCTGTCAATAATCACCTATGCAAGTTAGTCATTCCAGTTTAGACATTACACTGAAGTAAAAATAGACTACATTAATTTGGAGATGAAGTCCAAGATAATCAAATCATACAACAATACTTCAAGAGTCCTTTACTAAAAGAAAATTGATGTACTGAACACATACAAATGCAGCTTCTTAGACCGACCACCTGTTATACAAAGTGCAAATAAAACACATTCTATTCTTCTGTTTTTCAGATCCAAACTTGTAAAAACACGCCAAGTAATTGGAATGCAACTTCAATCTTCCAGTCGTGAGGCCACAACTTGATCTCACACTCAATATTCCGCCTTCAGGAAACCAGTTTTCACCATGTTAAATTATTTCTCTTGAAACAACAATAACAATGATGTTACGTCTATTTCCAATGATACTGGTGAGAGCAAAAACAACATTAAACTAAGCCCTTCTATGCAGCAATTAACTACAGCAGTGTGTTATGGTAAGAAAGATGACAGGTTATGGTAATGTTATCCCAACTGCACATTGTCATAGGCACGCTGAACACTGGGATCACCATAGACCTGTTGAAGGATATAAGCATTACGTGACACATTAGAAATAAACCATATCGTTTTTACCTCAAGCTTTGTGGATAATAATATTTGTTAAATGTTGAGATGAATTTTCAACTCACCTATGATTCCACATACAAGTCGTCATTCCTCACCGTGGTTATGTTTCATTCTCTACGGCCATTGCTGGGTTACTTGTGCCTGAAAAACAACATGCATACAGTTACTAAAGTTATTGGAGAATGGCCCTAGGATAATGATTTGTACTCATTCAAATAAAAAATACATACAAAAAATGGACATAAAGCTGGGGTTAGGGTCATGGCTAGGGTTAAGGTTAACCAGGATGTGGACATAAAGCTGGGGTTAGGGTCATGGCTAGGGTTAAGGTTCACCAGGATGTGGACATGAAGCTAGAGTTAGGGTTGTGGTTGAGGCTAGGGTTAGGGTTATGGCTAGGGTTAGGGTTGAACCGGGATGTGGAAATGAAGCTAGGGTTAGGGTTGAACTGGGATCTGGACATGAATCTAAGGTTAGGGTTGAACCAGGATCTGGACATGAAGCTAAGTTTAGGGTTGAACCGGGATCTGGACATGAAGCTAAGGTTAGGGTTTGCTCGGCTCCCATCAGATAGTTGAGCTTTCACCCAGTCTCTCTTTGTCCGCTGCTCCCCCGTTCTCTGTCCAGGAGAGGGTGCTGTTCAGCAGTCGACTTTGGGACTCCCTCAGCGGTTTGGCTGGGAACTGGTGGCTCTCTCCAACAACACTGCACAACACAGGACAAACCATTAGGCAGGATCAGTACATTAATGGATTTCAATGGACTATTAGCAATACGACTGTTAGAAAAGTACTCGAAAGTACTCTCTCACATCTGTATCCAAAAATAATCTTTATGGAAAAGGACCAAATGTATGAAGAGTGTAGACAGGACAGTGACTTCCTGTGAGAGATGAAAACACGTCTTGTTGGGAGGGGGGTTGTGTCCAGGAGATGAATACTTACGTCTTGTTGGGAGGGGGGTTGTGTCCAGGAGAGGTGGGCTGCTCAGGATCCTGGTTCACCAGACAGGTTGGGAAGGAGCACCCATCACCCAGACTAAACACAAAACACAATCCTGTGATTAAAACTCTTCCTAATTAACAACTAACTAACCTCTTCTCACGCTTCGTAATTTACAAACCTTTAAACATTGTCCCCTCATTCCCCCCATAGTTCACCACTGAATTCAAGTTGAAGTTCTTTCTTCTCCCTCCTCTTTGTCAGAGTAGAGACCCAGATACCTTTCTGTTTAGCTGAGAATATCAGTGTTTTCACAGTGGGTTCAGTCAGAGTAGAGACCTTTCTGTTTAGCTGAGAATAACAGTGTATTCACAGTGGGTTCTGTCAGAGTATAGACCTTTCTGTTTAGCTGAGAATATCAGTGTTTTCACAGTGGGTTCAGTCAGAGTAGAGACCTTTCTGTTTAGCTGAGAATATCAGTGTTTTCACAGTGGGTTCAGTCAGAGTTGATAGCATTATATTTTATTTGCGAGCAGCATGCCACCCTGCATCCCACTGCTGGCTTCCCTCTGAAGCTAAGCAGGGTTGGTCCTGGATGTGAGACCAGATGCTGCTGGAAGTGGTGTTGGAGTCCCTCTGGTCTAAGGAGATCCCAATGCCCCAGGGCAGTGATTGGGGACATTGCCCTGCATAGGGTGCCATTTTTCAGATGGGATGTTAAAACAGGTGTCCTGACTCTATGATCACTAAAGATGGCATGGCACTTATCGTAAGAGTAGGGCTGTTAACCCTGTCCTGGCTAAATTCCCAATCTGGCCCTCATACCATCATGGCCACCTAATCATCCCCAGCTTCCAATTGTCTCATTCTTATCCAGGTTGTTGCTGTAAAAGAGAATATGTTCTCAGTTAACTTATCTGGTAAAATAAGGGAATAAGTAAATACCTGGAGTACACGGGAAATAGCCAGTACCTAATTTCATCACCGAAGACCTGGCGGAAGTTCTTACTGAGGCCCAGACTGAAGCCATTCTTATCAGCCCCATGACGGAACGCTGGGGCGCGGACCGCCTCTGAGGAACAATAGAGTAGAATATGATCAGTGTTGAATCAAAACTGAGGAGAGATCTAGTTAGGCATCGTTTATAGAGAACATATGCAATCTAGATGTTTCATAGCTCAAAGGAAACTGAGAGAGGAACTTCATTGTTTTGTGGGTACTTATGCATCTCCTGAACCAATAGAAACACATTCATGGATAAGAAACATTCTGAGACATCAGTTGTCAAATATCCTCTTGGGGAAGAGATTGCTGAGAGAGTTTGTTATTCTCAAAGGGTGGGGAGATTTGCTGTTTAAAAGCCTGCTACAACTGCAGACTAACTCCCTTGACTCCATCTCACTGAACTGCCCTTGGTACAGCAAAAATGAAGATCAGCCATTTCTAATTGACTTTATGTAATGAGAATGAGCCAAAGAGCCTGAGAAGTGTGCTCTCTGAGGACAGATCTATGCCTTCAGATCTGCTGGCTGTGCTGTGTTACCAGGTGTGACTGACCATGTCCTCTAAAGGCCTGTCCAGCAGGACTACCTGTCCAGCAGGGCTACCTGTCCAGTGTCTGTTACTAAGCCTCTTACTCTGAGCCTGTTGTCATGGCGTTATAACACACTCCCTGAATAATCCACTGACTCAGATCGGAGGCAGAAAAGTGCACCACTCGTTAGAGCTGAGTGACATGGACAAAAATTAAATTGACAAAATGATCAAGATTACTACTACTACTACTACTACTGCTTATACTACTACTACTACTACTACTACTACTACTTCTACTGCTTCTACTACTACTACTACTACTACTACTACTGCTTCTACTACTGCTACTACTACTACTAATAATAATATTACTACTACTACTGCTGCTGCTACTACTACTACTACTATTACTTTGAATGTTGTAGTTATCAATTGTCCCGTTAGAAATAGCCCATAGTAGCAGACTTATTTAATGTCAAACTTCACATTCCTCTAGTAAAAGCTTATTATTATTATTTATATTATTGATATCAGTCCTCAATAAATGATTGGTTCGGTCAGTATCGATAATTTCCAGTTTATCGTCCCAGCTCTAGCACATAGTCAGTCAGTCAGTCAGTCAGTCAGTCAGTCAGGCTGTCTGGCTGTCTGGCTGTCTGGCTGTCTGGCTGTCTGGCTGTCTGATAGATAATGGCCATGACAAAGAGCCTTATCAAATCATACCACAGATGAGTGACTGAATCTGTGTGTTTATTTGATGTGGAGAAGAATAGAATAAGTTCCCTATCCCAGGCCTGTATTTGGAGACTCCGTCAGAGCACCCAGGTTAGGTCTGTTTCTATTCTGTTTAGTGAGACACCAGGGAGATGGTCTCAACAACATATAGACACACCCTGTCAGCTCTTACCCAGAGTGGATCTGTTCTTGCAGACTAGCCAGCAGTGGTAGACGAACAGTGAGGCCAGACTGACAGAGAACATGGAAGCAGCGAAGAAAAGGAACATGATGTGGAACTTAGCCTGGGTGTCAGGCAGACCATTCTGAGGGAGCAGTTCCAGACAAACACAATGCATTAATCTTACAGTACCTGTATGTGTGCATTAGGCATAACCTGTAAGTAAAGTCTGCCCGCTAGTTGGGTGTTAGCATAGGTCGCTACGAAACTAGTGTAGGGGGAGCTTAACCAATCAGTGATCATCGTCCTCAAATTCAATGCCGCTGATTGGCTCATACCAGGTATTCTAAGAGACGGTCGTGTGTTCTACCTTCAGCCTTGCAGAGAAATCAAAATACTAAGATCAGAACATTACATACTTATTTTCTGTTATACACCAAGCATCATCTTTCATACTGTATTATTTACAGTCATTAGAAATAATCGTTTTCTCTAAAGAGCATGGATATAGAGATATATAGATATAACAGACAGTAAACTGTTATTAGATATTCAATCATTCCACTGGTTTAGATTGTACAGAATGTAAATTAATCCAAAGTTCATCATGAAAATATTTTACTCACGGTCCAGAATTTAATGAAGTACTGTAGATCTGTAGCAGTGATGAAAAGGCAATATAATAAGGAGTATGCCAAGAACAGCATGAAAAACTTATAGTTGGAGAAGCCCACACAGTTATTCACCCTGTCACATTCCAAAACAAGAAGGCAATGCTCCAAGTCAGTATCACACAATATGGGAAAACCCTACCGTTTGACTGCAACATACAGATGGTAAAAATGGCCCCCAAACAGAAACAGACAAGGCTAAAATATAATCTACATCGTAGACATCAGTTAAGCCTTTGACGACAATAGAAAAAGTGATCTATTTATCAAACAAGATTTAAAAACTCTTACAAATCATAGTGACCTAATGGAGAAAAAAAAATCAATTTCCTTTGAATAATTAATCGAACATCACTTTGATTAAGTATGAAATGGTATAGTAGCAATACAGACCAGGGGCAATGGTGATCCATCTTTAGGATGCATCTGTAAAACAACAGTAAGGAAACTCAGTAACAGCTAGAATATTCCCATACACAGTTACAGCAGGGTTCTTATGAACAGTACATATGGCCATGAGCAGAGTCATACTTATCACAGACTGAGCAATGGTGACATCGATCAGGCTTGACCAGCTGGCAGCGATCACAGAAACGGATAGCTGAGGAATAAGAGAGACAGCGTCAGCACAGTCAATCAGACACCATCACCACCCTATTTACCCCACTGACCAATGAATCATCAGCCTATCAACCCCACTGACCAATAACAAATGAATAATCAGCCTATCTACCCCACTGACCAATAACAAATGAATAATCAGCCTATCAACCCCACTGACCAATAACAAATGAATCATCAGCCTATCTACCCGACTGACCAATAACAAATGAATCATCAGCCTATCTACCCGACTGACCAATAACAAATGAATCATCAGCCTATCTATCCCACTGACCAATAACAAATGAATCATCAGCCTATCAACCCCACTGACCAATAACAAATGAATCGTCAGCCTATCTATCCCACTGACCAATAACAAATGAATCGTCAGCCTATCTATCCCACTGACCAATAACAAATTAATCATCAGTCTATACAGTGCCTTGCAAAAGCATTCATCCCCCTTGGTGTTTTTCCTATATTGTTGCATTACACCCTGTAATTTAAATGGATTTTTATTTGGATTTCATGTAATGGACATATACAAAATAGTCCAAATTGGTGAAGTGAAATATTACTTGTTTCAAAAAATTCAAAAAAACAAACAAATGAAAAGTGGTGCATGCATATGTATTCACCCCCTTTGCTATGAAGCCACTAAATAAGATCTGGTGCAACCAATTACCTTCAGAAGTTACATAATTAGTTAAATAAAGTCCACCTGTGTGCAATCTAAGTGTCACATGATCTGTCACATGATCTCAGTATATATACACCTGTTCTGAAATGCCCCAGAGTCTGCAACACCACTAAGCAAGGGGCACCACCAAGCAAGCGGCACCATGAAGACCAAGGAGCTCTCCAAACAGGTCAGGGACAAAGTTGTGGAGAAGGACAGATCAGGGTTGGGTTATAAAAAAATATCTGAAACTTTGAACATCCCACAGAGCACCTTTAAATCCATTATTAAAAAATTGAAAGAATATGGCACCACAACAAACCTGCCAAGAGAGGGCCCCCCACCAAAACTCACGGACCAGGCAAGGAGGGCATTAATCAGAGAGGCAACAAAGATACCAAAGATAACCCTGAAGGAGCTGCAAAGCTCCACAGTGGAGATTGGCGTATCTGTCCATAGGACCACTTTAAGCCGTACACTCCACAGAGCTGGGCTTTACGGAAGAGTGGCCAGAAAAAAACCATTGCTTAAAGAAAAAAATAAGCAAACACGTTTGATGTTCGCCAAAAGCCATGTGGGAGACTCCCCAAACATATGGAAGAAGGTACTCTGGTCAGATGAGACTAAAATTGAGCTTTTTGGCCATCAAGGAAAATGTCTGGCGCAAACTCAACACCTCTCATCACCCCGAGAACACCATCCCCACAGTGAAGCATGGTGGTGGCAGCATCATGCTGTGGGGATGTTTCTCATCGGCAGGGACTGGGAAACTGGTCAGAATTGAAGGAATGATGGATGGCGCTAAATACAGGGAAATTCTGTGGGAAACTTGTTTCAGTCTTCCAGAGATTTGAGACTGGGACGGAGGTTCACCTTCCAGCAGGACAATGACCCTAAGCATACTGCTAAAGCAACACTCGAGTGGTTTAAGGGGAAACATTTAAATGTCTTGGAATGGCCTAGTCAAAGGCCAGACCTCAATCCAATTGAGAATCTGTGGTATGACTTAAAGAGTGCTGTACACCAGTGGAACCCATCCAACTTGAAGGAGCTGGAGGAGTTTTGCCTTGAAGAATGGGCAAAAATCCCAGTGGCTAGATGTGCCAAGCTTATAGAGACATACTCCAAGAGACTTGCAGCTGTAATTGCTGCAAAAGGTGGTTCTACAAAGTATTGACTTTGGGTGGGTGAATAGTTTTCACGCTCAATTTCTTTTTTGTTTCAAAAGAACAAATATTTTGCATCTTCAAAGTGGTAGGCATGTTGTGTAAATCAAATGATACTGGGGTGGTACATGGGAAAATGGGTGGTACACTCCAATATGCGATGTGGTTAGACGAGAACACAGACATTTTGCCAAGGCAAAGATGAGCGTCCGACAACGAAACGCACGCTGACAGTAGTGGACACATCAATTTTGGCCTAATGACAATCGACAAATGTCATTACACTTTGTGGTGTTTTGTGTAACAGATTTCTCTTTCCATTCACCACTGTTTGGAGGCTGGAAATAAGTTGCTGAATAAGTGGATGAACATGCGCAGGTAGCCTAGTAAAGTAGCCTTTTGAAGTGACTGTTTGACAATCAGATGAAAACATAATGACTGGTTGTGTTTATGCCACAATAAAAGGTAATACATTTTAAAAGTTAAATGACAACTCTTTATGACTAGGCCCACAGAAATCCTATTGAATTAATAGGGATTCTACAGTGAGGGAAAAAAGTATTTGATCCCCTGCTGATTTTGTACGTTTGCCCACTGACAAAGACATGATCAGTCTATAATTTTAATGGTAGGTTTATTTGAACAGTGAGAGACAGAATAACAACAACAAAATCCAGAAAAACGCATGTCAAAAATGTTATAAATGTATTAGCATTTTAATGAGGGAAATAAGTATTTGACCCCTCTGCAAAACATGACTTAGTACTTGGTGGCAAAACCCTTGTTGGCAATCACAGAGGTCAGACGTTTCTTGTAGTTGGCCACCAGGTTTGCACACATCTCAGGAGGGATTTTGTTCCACTCCTCTTTGCAGATCTTCTCCAAGTCATGAAGGTTTCGAGGCTGACGTTTGGCAACTCGAACTTTCAGCTACCTCCACAGATTTTCTATGGGATTAAGGTCTGGAGACTGGCTAGGCCACTCCAGGACCTTAATGTGCTTCTTTTTGAGCCACTCCTTTGTTGCCTTGGCCGTGTGTTTTGGGTCATTGTCATGCTGGAATACCCATCCACGACCCATTTTCAATGCCCTGGCGGAGAGAAAGAGGTTCTCACCCAAGATTTGATTAGCAGAAAAACATCCCCAAAGCATAATGTTTCCACCTCCATGTTTGACGGTGGGGATGGTGTTCTTGGGGTCATAGGCAGCATTCCTCCTCCAAACACTGTGAATTTAGTTGATGCCAAAGAGCTCAATTTTGGTCTCATCTGACCACAACACTTTCACCCAGTTCTCCTCTGAATCATTCAGATGATCATTGGCAAACTTCAGACGGCCCTGTATATGTGCTTTCTTGAGCAGGGGGACCTTGCGGGCGCTGCAGGATTTCAGTCCTTCATGGCGTAGTGTGTTACCAATTGTTTTCTTGGTGACTATGGTCCCAGCTGCCTTGAGATCATTGACAAGATCCTCCCATGTAGTTTTGGGCTGATTCCTCACCGTTCTCATGATCATTGCAAGTCCACGAGGTGAGAGTTGCATGGAGCCCCAGGCCGAGGGAGATTGACAGTTATTTTGTGTTTCTTCCATTTGCGAATAATCGCACCAACTGTTGTCACCTTCTCACCAAGCTGCTTGGCGATGGTCTTGTAGCCCATTCCAGCCTTGTGTAGGTCTACAATCTTGTCCCTGACATCCTTGGAGAGCTCTTTGGTCTTGGCCATGGTGGAGAGTTTGGAATCTGATTGATTGATTGCTTCTGTGGACAGGTATCTTTTATACAGGTAACAAATTGAGATTAGGAGCACTCCCTTTAAGAGTGTGCTCCTAATCTCAGCTCGTTACCTGTATAAAAGACACCTGTGAGCCAGAAATCTTTCTGATTGAGAGAGGGTCAAATACTTATTTCCCTCATTAAAATGCAAATCAATTTATAACATTTTTGACATGCGTTTTTCTGGATTTTGTTGTTGTTATTCTGTCTCTCACTGTTCAAATAAACCTACCACTAAAATTATAGACTGATCATTTCTTTGTCAGTGGGCAAACGTACAAAATCAGCAGGGGATCAAATACTTTTTTCCCTCACTGTATATGTAATTAGGCTTATGAAAAATGTTGGTGCAGGTCCCGTACCGGGAATAAATTAATTTTACTTTCACTCCTGATACATTGTATAATCAACTGGACAGTTTTTGTGTAATTATAACTTTTGGGGAAACCAATTTTGGTTTGCTGGGTTGGTAAAAGTCAACCCACAGGGCAGACGTTTTGTTTTAGCTTGTGTTCTGTTGAGTACCTCCAGACATGGTGCGGGTGTAGATGGGTAAATCCTTGGCTATCCTTCTAAGAATCTCCTGCTGAGACTCTCCACGGTCCTCACGCTCCAACAGCTCCTTGTCTGAGTAGGACAGGTGGAACTACAGAGAGGATGGAGGAACAGAATAAGAAGCGTCCTGTGCTTCTACAGATGTAGGATCTTAATTTGATCACCCTGTTGCAGGAGGTTTAAAAAACCCTGTTGCATTTGAGGTTTTAAAGTCTTCTGAAGTTTGTAATTTCCACACTTGATTTTCCCTTAAGAAAAATGTTTCAACCCCTACAAAAATGTCCATTAATTATAATCAACATAATAATTCACATTTCCTGTTGCTGCAGGATGTTCGTCCCGCTGTAGCAAACTGGCTCAAATTACGATCCTACACCTCTAGAATATTGCAGGCCTACATCCATTACTAATGAGATGCACTTCCCATGAGAGCTCTTATCAAAGAATAGTATAATGCTGTGATCAACTATAAATGCTGTGTAGCTCTGAGTGTTGGAGGACTGCAGTACAGTATTGTTTAGTGTCACAAGGGTGATCCAGCCTGTAGGGCTAAGTCATGTGCAGTTCTATCATTGCCCTTTCCTTCTGATTCCTTCTGCCTGAGCAGCTAGATTGGTTGGAGAGCCAAAGCACTGCTACATTATTAGGCGTTTTATGATGGAAGGCTGAGGACTAATAACTTCAACAATAACAAACAGCATGGTGCCAAGTGCCACAGATATCACCACCCACTGAATCATCTAACAAGTACATCTTATAGTATGAAGGAAAATATTGTTATTGAGTGACCTGAATGTTAAGTTATCACCCCTTGAATGAACCAGAGCACTCAGTACTGGAAGGAGCATTTATGAGTGTTGTCTGAAGTGCATGGATTCAACAACAACAAGCGCTGAATCTGAGTGGTCAGGAGCAGAGATAGAGTGCTCCTTCAGGCAGTTGGAGAAGAATGTAATATCACTGTAAATATCACTGTAAACATCACTCTCAATCATAACAGGAGAGACTAGAGCCTAGTTATGTCCCTCTCCCTGTACCTCATCATCCAGACTAGCCTAGTTCTGTCCCTCTCCCTGTACCTCATCATCCAGACTAGCCTAGTTCTGTACCTCTCCCTGTACCTCATCATCCAGACTAGCCTAGTTCTGTACCTCTCCCTGTAGCTCATCATCCAGACTAGCCTAGTTCTGTACCTCTCCCTGTACCTCATCATCCAGACTAGCCTAGTTCTGTACCTCTCCCTGTACCTCATCATCCAGACTAGCCTAGTTCTGTACCTCTCCCTGTACCTCATCATCCAGACTAGCCTAGTTCTATACCTCTCCCTGTAGCTCATCATCCAGACTAGCCTAGTTCTGTACCTCTCCCTGTACCTCATCATCCAGACTAGCCTAGTTCTGTACCTCTCCCTGTACCTCATCAACCAGACTAGCCTAGTTCTGTACCTCTCCCTGTACCTCATCATCCAGACTAGCCTAGTTCTGTACCTCTCCCTGTACCTCATCATCCAGACTAGCCTAGTTATGTCCCTCTCCCTGTACCTCATCATCCAGACTAGCCTAGTTCTGTACCTCTCCCTGTAGCTCATCATCCAGACTAGCCTAGTTCTGTACCTCTCCCTGTAGCTCATCATCCAGACTAGCCTAGTTCTGTACCTCTCCCTGTACCTCATCATCCAGACTAGCCTAGTTCTGTACCTCTCCCTGTACCTCATCATCCAGACTAGCCTAGTTCTATACCTCTCCCTGTAGCTCATCATCCAGACTAGCCTAGTTCTGTACCTCTCCCTGTACCTCATCAACCAGACTAGCCTAGTTCTGTACCTCTCCCTGTACCTCATCATCCAGACTAGCCTAGTTCTGTACCTCTCCCTGTACCTCATCATCCAGACTAGCCTAGTTCTGTCCCTCTCCCTGTACCTCATCATCCAGACTAGCCTAGTTCTGTACCTCTCCCTGTACCTCATCATCCAGACTAGCCTAGTTCTGTACCTCTCCCTGTAGCTCATCATCCAGACTAGCCTAGTTCTGTACCTCTCCCTGTACCTCATCATCCAGACTAGCCTAGTTCTGTACCTCTCCCTGTAGCTCATCATCCAGACTAGCCTAGTTCTGTACCTCTCCCTGTACCTCATCATCCAGACTAGCCTAGTTCTGTACCTCTCCCTGTACCTCATCATCCAGACTAGCCTAGTTCTGTACCTCTCCCTGTAGCTCATCATCCAGACTAGCCTAGTTCTGTACCTCTCCCTGTACCTCATCATCCAGACTAGCCTAGTTCTGTAACGCGCTCTGTACCTCATCCTTCAGACTAGACTATTTGATCAAATGCACACACACACACACACACTCACCTCTTTCAGGGGGTTCATGGGCTTGGTGAAGATGGTCTGCCAGTAGGCCCAGGTAAACAAGATGAAGACAACATGATAGGCCAGCAGATAAACAACTGGAAATAGAAAGACATACAGCTCACTGTGCAGCCAAGTCATCTGTCTGCTAGAAGCTAGATCTCTGACACAGTTTTAGAATAGACCAACAAAGAAGCCCTGTTTCCCATGAACTTGAAGTCAATAAAGTTATGATTCCTTTTCCTACCCATTGTGACATTGAACAGAGAACATTTGTCCTAAGAACCACTAGAGGAGAACGTGCCGAAGCTTTGGGACAGCCTGACGTTGGGACAGCCTGACGTTGGCACAGCCTGACTAACTGCGCTTAGATAAGGCTCTGGCAGAGATACAGTGCCTTGCAAAAGTATTCATCCCCCTTGGCATTTTTCCAATTTTGTTGCATTACAACCTGTAATTTAAATGGATTTTTATTTGGATTTCATGTAATGGACATACACAAAATAGTCCAAATTGGTGAAGTGAAATGAAAAAAATAACTTATTTCTAAAAAATAAATAATCGAAAAGTTGTGCGTGCACCCTTTACTATGAAGCCCCTAAATAAGATCTGGTGCAACCAATTACCTTCAGAAGTCACGTAATTAGTTAAATAAAGTCCACCTTTGTGCAATCTAAGTGTCACATGATCTGTCACATAATCTCAGTATATATACACCTGTTCTGAAATGCCCCAGAGTCTGCAACACCACTAAGCAAGGGGCACCACCAAGCAAGCGGCACCATGAAGACCAAGGAGCTCTCCAAACAGGTCAGGGACAAAGTTGTGGAGAAGTACAGATCAGGGTTGGGTTATAAAAAAATTACAGAAACTTTGAACATCCCACGGAGCACCATTAAATCCATTATTAAAAAATAGAAATAATATGGCACCACAACAAACCTGCCAAGAGAGGGCCGCCCACCAAAACTCACGGACCAGGCAAGGAGGGCATTAATCAGAGAGGCAACAAAGAGACCAAAGATAACCCTGAAGGACCTACAAAGCTCCACAGCGGAGATTGGAGTATATGTCCATAGGACCACTTTAAGCCGTACACTCCACAGAGCTGGGCTTTACGGAAGAGTGGCCAGAAAAAAAGCCATTTTTTAAAGAAAAAAATAAGCAAATACATTTGGTGTTTGCCAAAAGGCATGTGGGAGACTCCCCAAACATATGGAAGAAGGTACTCTGGTCAGATGAGACTAGAATTGAGCTTTTTGGCCATCAAGGAAAGCGCTATGTCTGGCGCAAACCCAACACCTCTCATCACCCCGAGAACACCATCCCCACAGTGAAGCATGGTGGTGGCAGCATCATGCTGTGGGGATGTTTTTCATCGGCAGGGACTGGGAAACTGGTCAGAATTGAAGGAATGATGGATGGCGCTAAATACAGGGAAATCCTTGAGGGAAACCTGTTTCAGTCTTCCAGAGATTTGAGACTGGGACAGAGGTTCACCTTCCAGCAGGACAATGACCCTAAGCATACTGCTAAAGCAACACTTGAGTGGTTTAAGGGGAAACATTTAAGTGTCTTGGAATGGCCTAGTCAAAGCCCAGACCTAAATCCAATTGAGAATCTGTGGTATGACTTAAAGAGTGCTGTACACCAGCGGAACCCATCCAACTTGAAGGAGCTGGACAGTTTTGCCTTGAAGAATGGGCAAACATCCCAGTGTCTAGATGTGCCAAGCTTATAGAGACATACCCCAAGAGACTTGCAGCTGTAATTCCTGCAAAAGGTGGCTCTACAAAGTGCTGACTTTGGGGGGGTGAATAGTTATGCATGCTCAAGTTTTCTGTTTTTTTTGTCTTATTTCTTGTTTGTTTCACAATAACAATTATTTTGCATCTTCAAAGTGGTAGGCATGTTGTGTAAATCAAATTATACAAACCCCCCAAAAATCCATTTTAATTCCAGGTTGTAAGGCAACAAAATAGGAAAAATGCCAAGGGGGGTGAACACTTTCACTGTAACATACAGTGGGGAAAAAAAGTATTTAGTCAGTCACCAATTGTGCAAGTTCTCCCACTTAAAAAGATGAGAGAGGCCTGTAATTTTCATCATAGGTACACATCAACTATGACAGACAAATTGAGAAAAAAAAATCCAGAAAATCACATTGTAGGATTTTGAATGAATTTATTTGCAAATTATGGTGGAAAATAAGTATTTGGTCACCTACAAACAAGCAAGATTTCTGGCTCTCACAGACCTGTAACTTCTTCTTTAAGAGGCTCCTCTGTCCTCCACTCGTTACCTGTATTAATGGCACCTGTTTGAACTTGTTATCTGTATAAAAGACACCTGTCCACAACCTCAAACAGTCACACTCCAAACTCCACTATGGCCAAGACCAAAGAGCTGTCAAAGGACACCAGAAACAAAATTGTAGACCTGCACCAGACTGGGAAGACTGAATCTGCAATAGGTAAGCAGCTTGGTTTGAAGAAATCAACTGTGGGAGCAATTATTAGGAAATGGAAGACATACAAGACCACTGATAATCTCCCTCGATCTGGGGCTCCACGCAAGATCTCACCCCGTGGGGTCAAAATGATCACAAGAACAGTGAGCAAAAATCCCAGAACCACACGGGGGGACCTAGTGAATAACCTGCAGAGAGCTGGGACCAAAGTAACAAAGCCTACCATCAGTATCACACTACGCCGCCAGGGACTCAAATCCTGCAGTGTGAGACGTGTCCCCCAGCTTAAGCCAGTACATGTCCAGGCCCGTCTGAAGTTTGCTAGAGTGCATTTGGATGATCCAGAAGAGGATTGGGAGAATGTAATATGGTCAGATGAAACCAAAATAGAACTTTTTGGTAAAAACTCAACTCGTCGTGTTTGGAGGACAAAGAATGCTGAGTTGCATCCAAAGAACACCATACCTACTGTGAAGCATGGGGTTGGAAACATCATGCTTTGGGGCTGTTTTTCTGCAAAGGGACCAGGACGACTGATCCGTGTAAAGGAAAGAATGAATGGGGCCATGTATCGTGAGATTTTGAGTGAAAACCTCCTTCCATCAGCAAGGGCATTGAAGATGAAACGTGGCTGGGTCTTTCAGCATGACAATGATCCCAAACACACCGCCCGGGCAACGAAGGAGTGGCTTCGTAAGAAGCATTTCAAGGTCCTGGAGTGGTCTAGCCAGTCTCCAGATCTCAACCCCATAGATAATCTTTGGAGGGAGTTGAAAGTCCGTGTTGCCCAGCGACAGCCCCAAAACATCACTGCTCTAGAGGAGATCTGCATGGAGGAATGGGCCAAAATACCAGCAACAGTGTGTGAAAACCTTGTGAAGACTTACAGAAAACATTTGACCTGTGTCATTGCCAACAAAGGGTATATAACAAAGTATTGAGAAACTTTTGTTATTGACCAAATACTTTTTTTCCACCATAATTTGCAAATAAATTCATTAAAAATCCTACAATGTAATTTTCTGAATTTTTTTTTCTCATTTTGTCTGTCATAGTTGACGTGTACCTATGATGAAAATTACAGGCCTCTCTCATCTTTTTAAGTGGGAGAATTTGCACAATTGTTGGCTGACTAAATACTTTTTTTCCCCACTGTAAGTATTTTTGAGCTATGATTTCCAAACAAGATCATTACAATCATATTGCAATCACTGGCCACTTTAAGAAATGGAACACTAGTCACTTTAATAATGTTTACATATCATGCACTACTCATCTCATATGTATATACTGCATTCTATTCTATAATATTCTTCTGTATCTTAGTCCATGCCGCTCTGTCATTGCTTGTCCATATATGTATATATTCTTAAATCCCATTCCTTACTTTTTTGTGTGTATTGGGTATATGTTGTGTAATGGTTAGATACTACTGCACTGTCGGAGCTAGAAGCATAAGCATTTCACTACACCCGCTATAACATCTGCTAAACACGTGTATGTGACAAATAAGATTTGATTTGATTTGATTTGATAAAATGTTGGTCTTTTGGGATCTTATTTATTCTACTATGATGAAGCTTGTAGAGATGATTAGGCTAGCTACAGTGAATGTCTCTATTGGGTTCCAGCCTGTGTAGATGAGGGACTTGGAGAATATCATATTCAACTGTTTCTAACTGTGTACTCCCAGACCCATCATGCAACATCATCCTCATTCCTGCGTGTCTGGCCTCTCCTGACTCTGACTGTGTAGATAACTGATTCAGACCTGACAGAGGAAACATACATTTATGGGTTCTTAGACAAGACCTTTAACAGTCCTACTTCCTCTCCCACAATGGTACTAATCACTTGGAAATCGGTCTTACTAATGGATGCTGTTGCCACACGACTGCCCATAGATAAGCCTCAACCTCTGGGTTATTCATCTGGCATGGTATCAGTGTTCATCATATCATACTACTACTGTCAGGTATCAGTGTTCATCATAGGGGAAAGTGGGGTAAGTTGAGCCATTTTTTACATTCAGCATCACTCCGTCAAGGGAAATATAGTAATTTCTAACAAAGATATCTACATATATTTCAGGATGTTGTGTATCGCTGGAAATAATCAGAATTCATGTAAATGTTACAGTCTTGAAAACATAGCTTGTACAAAAAAAGTGGTCTCTTGGGACAACTTACCCTGGGTATGGGGTAAGTTGAGCCGCAGGACAGGGTGAGTTAAGCCACATAAAAATGTCTGTACTTAATTAAATATTACCTGGAGGTGTGTTTTGGGTCATTGTCCTGTTGAAAAACAAATGATAGTCTCACTAAGCCCAAACCAGATGGGATGGCGTGTCGCTGCAGAATGCTGTGGTACCCATGCTGGTTAAGTGTGCCTTGAATTCTAAATAAATCACCGGCAGTGTCACCAGCAATGCACCCCCACACCATCACACCTCCTCCTCCATGCTTCACGGTGGGAACCACACATGCGGAGATCATCCGTTCACCTACTCTGCGTCTCACAAAGACACGGCGGTTGGAACAAAAAATCTCAAATTTGGACTCATCAGACCAAAGGACAGATTTACACTGGTCTAATGTGCATTGCTCGTGTTTCTTGGCCCAAGCAAGTCTCTTCTTCTTATTGGTGTCCTTTAGTAGTGGTTTCTTTGCAGCAATTAGACCATGAAGGCCTGATTCACAGTCTCCTCTGAACAGTTGATGTTGCGATGTGTCTGTTACTTGAACTCTGTGAAGCATTTATTTGGGCTGCAATCTGAGGAGCAGTTAACTCTAATGAACTTATCCTCTGCAGCAGAGGTAACTCTGGGTCTTCCATTCCTGTGGCGCTCCTCATGAGAGCCAGTTTCATCATAGTGCTTGATGGTTTTTGCGACAGCACTTGAAGAAACTTTCAAATTTCTTGACAATTTCTGGATTGACTGACATTCATGTCTTAAAATAATATGGGACTGTCATTTCTCTTTGCTTATTTGAGCTGTTCTTTCCATAATATGGACTTGGTCTTTTACCAAATAGGGTTATCTTCTGTATACCAACCCTACCTTGTCACAACACAACTGATTGGCTCAAACGCATTAAGAAGGAAAGATATTCCACAAATTAACTTTTAACGAGGCACACCTGTTAATTTAAATGCATGCCAGTTGACTACCTCATGAAGCTGGTTGAGAGAATGCCAAGAGTGTGCAAAGCTGTCATCAAGGCAAAGGGTGGCTACTTTGAAGAATTTACTTTGAAGAATTTGTTTAACACTTTTATGGTTACTACATGATGTGTTATTTCATCGTTTTGATGTCTTCACTATTATTCTACAATGTAGAAAATAGTAAAAATAAAGAAAAACCCTGGAAAGAGCAGGTGTGTCCAAACTTTTGCCCAAACTTTTGCCTGGTACTGTACATATTACCTCAATTACCTCGACTAACCTGTACCCCCCACACATTGACTATAGCCTCGTTATTGTTATTTTACTGTGTTACTTTATATATATATATATATATATATATATATATATATATATTTTTTTTTTTTACTTTAGTTTATTTAGTAAATGTTTTCTTAAATCTTATTGTTCTTAAAACTGCATTGTTGGTTAGGGGCTTGTAATTAAGCATTTCACGGTAACGTCTACACCTGTTGTATTCGGCGCATGTGACAAATAACATTTGATTTGATTAGATTAGATTTTTTTGTATTTTAATCATTTTAAGCATCTCTTAACACAGGCTTAACACCTAACAAACACTTTTAACATAGGCCAGGCCCTGTTGTTACCTCATATCCCAGCAATAATGCCTTGCATTACGCCTGGGAAGAAAACACTTCAATTTGCTCAACTTGCCATTGGCTCAACCATTGGCTCAACTTACCCCAAGGCAAACATTTGGACTATATTAGCCCACACAATATAAGGATGCACTTTCATAATAGGTTTATGACCTCATATTGAAGCTTGTAGAGACCCCAACTGATGTATAGAACAATCTTTAAATGATCTACATTGGTTTAGATACAAGCATCATTAAACCTCTAACACAATAAATTCATTTGACTTGGTGAAAATCTGTTTTTTGGACCTAACTTGCTTACCACTTTTCCATGTGGTTTCTTCCTTCACAGACTCCATGAAATGATGACCTCTTCCTAAATATTTGGTCAAATTATTAATTTTGTGTATGGTTTCCTGGAAACAAGGGTGGCTCAACTTACCCCTTTGACTCAACTTGCCCCACTCTCCCCTATCATACTGCTACTGGCAGGTATCAGTGTTCATCATACTGTAGAAGAAGCTATATGGGTCAGGGACTTACTCTTCTGTCCAATGTTGTCGATGGATTCTGAAAAGAGAAGATGAGAAATGTGCAGTCACGTCTCTGTGTTGTTTATTGCATTATGGACAAATAAAGAATGGAAATGTTTTGAACATTTTCAGCAGCATCCCTCTTCAGTATAATGTGTTGGCACAATGTGTAGATTGTGCTGAAAACAAATGATATTTTCCACTTGGTGTACTTGGCATCAATATCCTTGGAACACAAATGATAGTTTAATAACGATAAATAGCTGAAGATGACACAGACATCCAGGAAGTGCGCTGAATCCCAATACTGTAAGTGCCATTTGACACATCAAACTCCTACGACCTCCAGAAACATAATCACGACCTGATCCAATCATAAATTACTGTCCTTGTTTTACCTTTTGATATAATAAAGCATTACTGTGCATTAACACAAAAGCAGTGAAAACAACAGTAGCATGGTGCTTGGTACAGTCTGTGCGTGAACGCTGACTGTGGCAGCTGCTCCACCTGCGGCAGGGCTGAGACAAAGCTGATCACATGACAGGATCAGCACCCCAGTCCTCAACACACTGGATCTGCTCAGCTAATATACATGAGTAGCACCCTACTACACACACCTACTAATACACCTATACACATGAAAAGCAGGGTTTGGAACCGGTTCACGGAACAGAACAGAAAACCGGAAAATAAATACATTTTTCAAGGAATAGAATCAGAACTGGGAACGAAAGTGATCTATACTGTTCCGGAACAGAACCTTTATTATAAAATATAGATTTTTCCCCCCCAAATCAAATCAAATCAAATGTTATTTGTCACATACACGTGTTTAGCAGATGTTATAGCGGGTGAACACAACAAATAGTATAAACACAACAAATGGTATATTAATTACCATGCCCTGTTTTGCCAATGTAACGACACTGGGCCTGCCAGCAGACCGGGACAGAGGCTATATGCCGGTGTACACTCATTATCTGAGGTTGGGGGGGGCGGTGTATAATCATGTAAATCCAAATAATGTAATTCCAAAATTGCATTCTGATTGGGCACCTAGCCATGCAATGTCATAAGGTACGGCCTTCATTACCTTGTTTAGGGAGCTTATTGGATCACAGGGTGGGGTCAAATTGACCGTTTATTTTCTCGCAGAGAGGGAAAAAGGTTGTTCACTTTTGCAGCTAGCTTTGTTAATTTTTGTTAGTGGCACACTGAATAATTATAGCTAGTTGGCTAAGCTTTGATCAGCATGGATATCCGAAAATGGCTGGGCACTGCCAAGAGCAAAAAAACTGAGGACCACCATGTCTAAACCGATGCCAAGCTCACCGAGCAGCCTGCTAGCCCGACCACTGAGATTGAAGAGCCTAGAAGCAAATGCCCCCACGCCGCCTGCTTCCCAACAAGATGGAGAACAGCCATAGCCTAGCACCAGCAGCACGAGGGTAACATCACAACAAGCAGCTGCACCTCCGTTACCCCAGCCACTAGCACCTGACCACCTCAGTGATGAGGAGCCAGCATTACCCCAGCTACTAGCACCTGACCAACTCAGTGATGAGGAGCCAGCGTTACCCCAGCCACTAGCACCTGACCACCTCGGTGATGAGGAGCCAGCGTTACCCCAGCTACTAGCACCTGACCAACTCAGTGATGAGGAGCCAGCGTTACCCCAGCCACTAGCACCTGACCACCTCAGTGATGAGGAGCCAGCGTTACCCCAGCTACTAGCACCTGACCAACTCAGTGATGAGGAGCCAGCGTTACCCCAGCCACTAGCACCTGACCACCTCGGTGATGAGGAGCCAGCGTTACCCCAGCCACCTGACCACCTCAGTGATGAGGAGCCAGCGTTACCCCAGCCACCTGACCACCTCAGTGATGAGGAGCCAGCGTTACCCCAGCCACTAGCACCTGACCACCTCGGTGATGAGGAGCCAGCGTTACCCCAGCCACCTGACCACCTCGGTGATGAGGAGCCAGCGTTACCCCAGCCACTAGCACCTGACCACCTCGGTGATGAGGAGCCAGCGTTACCCCAGCCACCTGACCACCTCAGTGATGAGGAGCCAGCGTTACCCCAGCCACTAGCACCTGACCACCTCGGTGATGAGGAGCCAGCGTTACCCCAGCCACCTGACCACCTCGGTGATGAGGAGCCAGCGTTACCCCAGCCACTAGCACCTGACCACCTCGGTGATGAGGAGCCAGCGTTACCCCAGCAACCTGACCACCTCGGTGATGAGGAGCCAGCGTTACCCCAGCCACCTGACTACCTCAGTGATGAGGAGCCAGCGTTACCCCAGCCACTTGCACCTGACCACCTCGGTGATGAGCAGCCAGCGTTACCCCAGCCACTAGCACGGTCAGGTGCTCAGCGTTACCCCAGCCACCTGACCACCTCAGTGATGAGGAGCCAACGTTACCCCAGCCACCTGACCACCTCACTGATGAGGAGCCAGCGTTACCCCAGCCACTTGCACCTGACCACCTCGGTGATGAGGAGCCAGCGTTACCCCAGCCACCTGACCACCTCAGTGATGAGGAGCCAGCGTTACCCCAGCCACTAGCACCTGACCACCTCGGTGATGAGGAGCCAGCGTTACCCCAGCCACTAGCACGGTCAGGTGCTCAGCGTTACCCCAGCCACCTGACCACCTCAGTGATGAGGAGCCAGCGTTACCCCAGCCACCTGACCACCTCGGTGATGAGGAGCCAGCGTTACCCCAGCCACTAGCACCTGACGACCTCTGTGATGAGGAGCCAGCGTTACCCCAGCCACTACCACCTGATGACCTCTGTGATGAGGAGCCAGCGTTACCCCAGCCACTAGCACCTGACCACCTCGGTTGACTTACCCCAGCCACATTTTCAGTGGGAGAAAGCAGGCCTTTTGTAGCCTCTGGTTCAAGGTATGCATTTGGTTGTGGTGCACACTATATATTGTCTGAGGAGGCGATAGAGGACTTGTTCAATGTGTGTAGCTCTCTGTACAATTTCTTTAGGAAACCCACGGTGGCTGCACAGTACACTGGAGAAAAACTGAAAAGAGTTCTTGATCAGAGATGGACTGGCCACCTCGCCACGTTGTCAGTCATTTTGAAATCAAGTGACAACATCACAGAGATGCTCAGTGAAATCTACTCGCGCATATGGCACAGATGTGAGACTTGAGGCCACAGGCTTATTGAAAGCAGTGACAGAGCCGAACTTTACGTTTATTGTGAACATGACTCACACAATCCTGGGGCTCCTCGACCCTCCTAACGAGTTACTGCAGTCAGAAGCTACTGATCTGCACACTGGTGTCAAACTTGTCCGCAGTACTTATGGGCGCGTTGAAAAACTGCGATGTGATGCTGAATTCGAAAAGCTTTGGGAGGCATGCTGGGAGGGTACGAGCACACCAGCTCCAAGCAAACGACTGAGACTGATGAGTAAAACCCTGCAAGAATATGTAGTTGAAAGCATAGTGGGTCAGCATGATTGATGGAAGAAGAAGAGATGACTGTTTTTCAGCACTTTCGATGCCGTGCTGTAGTCCGTGTGTAACGCCAGGGTTGTGGGTTCGTTTCCCACGGGGGACCAGTATGAAAAATCAATAAAAAATCAATGCACTCACTAACTGTAAGTCGCTCTGGATAAGAGCGTCTGCTAAATGACTAAAATGTAAATGTAAAATGTGCTGGCGGAAATGTCATCACGACTTAGCGAAGGAAGTAGTCAACTAGTGGAAGCTCTGTGTACCATGGATCCTGAGAGCCCAAACTTGTGGGATGTGAACAAGCCATTGATATTAATAGAGATTCAGCTTTTGCATTATGTTATGGGTGTAGAGACAATGACCAATGTAGCCTATTGGTTGCGCTCGGAGGTGAGCCCTATTGTCCTGGCTGTCCACTCCGGTGGTGCTGAAATTGGCAGCATTGGCGCTGACTGGCGGTAGCCTTCAGTCCATGGTCCTGAATTGATGGTTACGGCGTGTGCTGTTTTAATGAACACATCTTGGGCTACTAGTCTTTGTGGGGCTTCTCTTCAACATGGCATGCTTTCTTGTGTACAGTTGTTGTGTATGTGGCTGCAGTGCAGGCCTACATTTTAGTACATGTTGTATGTCAGAGTAGTATAGGACCAATATCGTGTGTAGCCTACTAAAATAAGTAGGTAAATGTTCACTATTTTATCATTAATTTTCATTACACAGTCGTTGTGTGATAGGCTACTATAAAACTGATATCAATACTTTGAAAACGACCCATAGCCTACTTTTTTGCCCCCTCCCTGCTCTCTTGCTATAGCGTGTGTGTGGGTGCCTGCGTACATGTGTGTGTGCTCTCTGAATTTGCATTTACTCTTATCTTATTAAAATTGTCTACTTCCATGTAGGAAATGTAACATCAGCTATGAATACAGAATATGCACTTAGTTTGATTTAGTTTGCTTTTCTGAAACTCTCCCACAGAAAATATTGTGCACCTGGAGAAGTGGCGGCTTGGCTTACTGTAGGTTACGCTCATCGCGTAGTGTCACAAATTCAAAAGAAATGTAGCCTATAGTTCTAATGATTGAAGTTTAAGCTATGAAGCCTGTTAGAATCTTTGATAGCCTAGTGGTGCTCATCCTGTTGGTAGGCGCAAATTATGTGTAGGACTACGGCAGATACGGCTGCATTTTGTATACTCTTGTATGTCATAATGGGGCGCATATCTTTCTTGTGTTATTATACAAAACAACGGTTGTTGATGTGTAAGGCTACATTTCAGATACATTTTTGTACATTTGAACAGCAGTAGGGTCAATCTACCTTGTTTTATTATGGCTCTAAAGCAATACTAGTTGTGCCCCCTCATGGATTTAATATGCCCCCTCAGGCATGTCATCCTGGAGCCGGACCTGCTCTCTCGTTCTCTCCCCACCCGCAAAATGTCAGTTGCATCTCGGCACTTGTCTTTCCATAACGCATGTAAACAACTCACTAAGCTATAGCTTGCCCGCTTCCTAGCAAGCTGCTCTATCCGCACTGCATGATTGGTTAAGTAATTTAATGTCGAGATAAATGTAAAAAAAATTAACGATTTCAGATGTTTAAAACGCAACAGAAAGGAACGATATAAAGCAGTACTTTTGGGGGGTTTCGAACCGGTTCATAACTTTATTTTGCTGGGCGAAACAATGTAACGGAACTAAAAAATATTGGTTCTGTTTAGAACGAAACGATTGGGAAATAATTTAGGATCCAACCCTTGCTTAATACACACCAACAGCACCAACACACACCTAATACACATCAACAGCATCCACCAAATACCTAATAAACAATATGAACAGCACCGAAAAGACAGGACCAGCTCCCTAATTGAGACACAGCATCCTACACACACAGTTGAAGTCGAAAGTTTACATACACCATAGCCAAATACATTTAAACTCAGTTTTTCACAATTCCTGACATTTAATCCTAGTAACAATTCCCTGTCTTAGGTCAGTTAGGATCACCACTTTATTTTAAGAATGTGAAATGTCAGAATAATAGTAGAGAGAATGATTTATTTCAGCTTTTATTTCTTTCATCACATTCCCAGTGGGTCAGAAGTTTACATACACTCAATTAGTATTTGGTAGCATTGCCTTTAAATTGTTTAACTTGGGTCAAACGTTTCGGGTAGCCTTCCACAAGCTTCCCACAATAAGTTGGGTGAATTTTGGCCCATTCCTCCTGACAGAGCTGGTGTAACTGAGTCAGATTTGTAGGCCTCCTTGCTCGCACACGCTTTTGTAGTTCTGCCCACACATTTTCTATAGGATTGAGGTCAGGGCTTTGCGATGGCCACTCCAATACCTTGACTTTGTTGTCCTTAAGCCATTTTGCCACAACCTTGGAAGTATGCTTGGGGTCATTGTCCATTTGGAAGACCCATTTGCGACCAAGCTTTAACTTCCTGACTGATGTCTTGAATTGTCCTTCCTCATGATGCCATATATTTTGTGAAGCGCACCAGTCCCTCCTGCAGCAAAGCACCCCCACAGCATGATGCTGCCACCCCCGTGCTTCACGGTTGGGATGGTGTTCTTCGGCTTGGAAGCGTCCATCTTTTTCCTCCAAACATAACGATGGTCATTATGGCCAAACAGTTCTATATTTGTTTCATCAGACCAGAGGACATTTCTCCAAAAAGTACGATCTTTGTCCCCATGTGCAGTTGCAAACCGTAGTCTGACTTTTTTATGGCGGTTTTGGATTAGTGGCTTCTTCCTTGCTGAGTGGCCTTTCAGGTTATGTCGATATAGGACTAGTTTTACTGTGTATATAGATACTTTTGTACCTGTTCCCTCCAGCATCTTCACAAGGTCCTTTGCTGTTGTTCTGGGATTGATTTGCACTTTTCGCACCAAAGTACGTTCATCTCTAGGAGACAGAACGCGTCTCCTTCTTGAGCGGTATGACGGCTGCGTGGTCCCATGGTGTTTCTACTTGCATACTATTGTTTGTACAGATGAACGTGGTACCTTCAGGCATTTGGAAATTGCTCCCAAGGATGAACCAGACTTGTGGAGGTCTACAATTCTTTTACATTTACATTTACATTTTACATTTTAGTCATTTAGCAGACACTCTTATCCAGAGCGACTTACAGTTAGTGATTGCATACATTTTTCTGAGGTCTTGGCTGATTTCTTTTGATTTTCCCATGATGTAAAGCAAAGAGGCACTGAGTTTGAAGGTAGGCCTTGAAATACATCCACAGGTACACCTCCAATTGACTCAAATGATGTCAATTAGCATATCAGAAGCTTCTAAAGCCATGACATCAATTTCTGGAATTTTCCAAGCTCTTTAAAGGCACAGTCAATTTAGTGTATGTAAACTTCTGACCCACTGGAATTGTGATACAGTGAATTATAAGTGAAATAATCTGTCTGTAAACAATTGTTGGAAAAATTACTTGTGTCATGCACAAAGTAGATGTCCTAACCAACTTGCCAAAACGATAGTTTGTTAACAACAAATGTGTGGAGTGGTTGAAAAAATAGTTTTAATGACTCCAACCTAAGTGTATGTAAACTTCTGACTTCAAGGAGGAGCACACCCAGGGATGGATATTAAGCTAGCCAGCTAGCCCGAGGCTAGTACTGTTCAGACCGTACCAAACTAGCCTGCCGTCTAGAGAAATTGTGTCTTTTCAAATATTGCATGACACAGATTTTGGACCTGGGCTAGTAAAAATGGCAATCTACTAACCTGGCTGGCCAATGCCCAAAATTCTTAAATTCCATCCCTGAGCACACATTAGCTTCACAGGCTCAGAGCACACTGCAGTCTGCACAACACACAGTCAGAGCTGAGGAAAGGTGATCTGAGCAACTGAAACAAGGCAAACAGCCAAAGAGCCTGTGTGTGTGTGTGTGTGTGTGCGTGCGTGCGTGCGTGCGTGCGTGCGTGCGTGCGTGCGTGCGTGCGTGCGTGCGCGTGCGTGTGTGTGTCCTGCTATTGTAACAGAGCCCAGGTCTGCGACTCAAGGACTTTCACAGGTGAACTAGCTGTCATAGCCATAGCTAGCATCCCTCTCTGTTTGAGCCAGGTGTTTGAGTAGGTTAAACTAGCTAGCTGCATTCACTAGCTAAGTGAAAGAAGAAATAAAATCAAACTAAATATCTCTCTCTCTCTCTCTCTCTCTCTCTCTCTCTCTCTCTCTCTCTCTCTCTCTCTCTTAGCTTTGTTCCAAACTGTTCAACTAATGTATTTCTCTCTCTTTGAGTCAACTACTCATCACATTTTATGCACTGCAGTGCTAGCTGTAGCTTATGCTTTCAGTACTACACTATATATACAAAAGTATGTGGACACCCCTTCAAATTAGTGGATTCGGCTATTTCAGCCACTCCTGTTGCTGGCAGGTGTATAAAATCGATGCAATCTCCACAGACAAACATTGGCAGTAGAATGGCCTTACTGAAGAGCTCAATGACTTTCAATGTGGCACCATCATAGGATGCCACCTTCCAAACAGTTTGTCAAATTTCTGCCCTGTTAGAGCTGCCCTCGTCAACTGTAAGTGCTGTTATTCTGAAGTGGAAACGTCTAGGAGCAACAACGGCTCAGCCGCGAAGTGGTAGGCCACAAGAGCTCACAGAACAGGACAGCTGAGTGCTGAAGCGCGTAACGCGTAAAAATCATCTGTCCTTGGTTGCAACACTCACTACCGAGTTCCAAACTGCCTCTGGAAGCAACATCAGCACAATAATTGTTCTTCGGGAGCTTTGTGAAATGGGTTTCCATGGCCGAACAGCCGCACACAAGCCTAAGATCACCATGCACAATGCCAAGCGACGGCTGGAGTGGTGTAAAGCTCGCCGCCGTTGGACTCTGGAGCAGTGGAAATGCGTTCTCTGGAGTGATGAATCACGTTTCACCATCTGGCAGTCTGACGGAGGATTCTGGGTTTGGCGGATGCCAGGAGAACGCTCCTGCCCGAATGCATAGTGCCAACTGTAAAGTTTGGTGGGGGAGGAATAATGGTCTGGGGCTGTTTTTCATGGTTCAGGCCCCTTAGTTCCAGTAAAGGGAAATCTTAACGCTACAGCATACAATTACATTCTAGACGTTTCTGTGCTTCCAACTTTGTGGCAACAGTTTTGGGAAGGCCCTTTCCTGCCCCCGTGCACAAAGCGAGGTCCATGCAGAAATGGTTTGTCGAGATCGGTGTGGAAGAACTTGATTGGCCTGCACAGAGCCCTGACCTCAACCCCATCAAACACCTTTGGGATGAATTGGAATGCCGACTGCGAGCCAGGCCTAATCGCCCAACATCAGTGACCTCACTAATGCTCTTGTGGCTGAATGTGGTCCTCTGTAGCTCAATTGGTAGAGCATGGCGCTTGTAACGCCAGGGTAGTGGGTTCGATCCCCGGGACCACCCATACGTAAAAATGTATGCACACATGACTGTAAGTCGCTTTGGATAAAAGCGTCTGCTAAATGGCATATTATGAATGGAAGCAAGTCGCCGCAGCAATGTTCCAGCATCTAGTGGAAAGCCTTCCCAGAAGAGTGGAGGCTATTACAGCAGCAAAGTGGGGACCAACTCCATATTAATGCCCATGATTTTGGAACGAGATGTTCGACGAGCAGGTGTCCACATACTTTTGGTCATGTCGTGTAGATTAATTTTCTGATCCTTTGATTCGGTGGACAACATGTCAGTTCATGCTGCAAGAGCTCTAATAGGTTGGAGGACGTCCTCCGGAAGTTGCCATATTTACTGTGTAAGTCTATAGAAGGGGGTGAGAACCATGAGCCTCCAAGGTTTTGTATTGAAGTCAATGTACCCAGAGGAGGACGGAAGCTAGCTGTCCTCCGGCTACACCATGGTGCTACCCTATAGAGTGCTGTAGATGCTACGATAGACCTTCATTGCAAAACAGTGTGTTTTAATCAATTATTTGGTGACGTGAATATAATTAGTACAGTTTTATCTAAAAAGGATAACTTTTTAAATGTTTCACTATTTATATTTTTATGAAATTAACTGAGGAGGATGGTCCACCCTTTCCTCCTCTGAGGAGCCTCCACTGTCACAGATATGTGACTAACATTTTGTCAACTTTAAAGACCCTGCTGCCATTTTTAAAGATAGTTTTAATGAAATCTAGGTCAGGCAGAGATTGCATGTGAGTCAGACAATTGGATTAACAGAGGGATCAGCTGACGATATCCTCATACAGTTATCTCTGGACCTCATCACACCACATTCTGGCCGGAGGCAACAACACTTCTAGTCCTATCTTACTGGTTTCATTACATATAGGAGAAAACTACAAATATATATATATATATAAAAGTAATTTTACAGTCAATGCAAATATCAAACTATCATATTAGTTGTATGCACTAAAAGCATTGATAATAACAGATTAATCAATTAAATATACTTAACAACATCCACTGAGAACTTTACTTGAGCCCCAGAGTGTTTCCTGGTCAGGCCACATGGTTAGGAATAACTCTATAGAGCCAGTCAGAGAGGTTCAGACTGTCTTACCTCCGGGGTAGAGGAGTGTTTTGACAAAGTGATAGACTCTGTTACTGGCCATAATATTGTGTTCTAAGATGAACGTGGAAAGATGCCCTGTTTTAGATAGTGTTTAGAATACCAGGAAGAAAACAGGAGTCTCTAGAGTCAGGGAGGGTCAACCTGACTGGGCTGATGACTGGGCTGGCTGGGAGGGTCAACCTGACTGGGCTGATGACTGGGCTGGCTGGGAGGGTCAACCTGACTGGGCTGATGACTGGACTGGCTGGGAGGGTCAACCTGACTGGGCTGATGACTGGGCTGGCTGGGAGGGTCAACCTGACTGGGCTGATGACTGGGCTGGCTGGGAGGGTCAACCTGACTGGGCTGATGACTGGGCTGGCTGGGAGGGTCAACCTGACTGGGCTGATGACTGGACTGGCTGGGAGGGTCAACCTGACTGGGCTGATGACTGGGCTGGCTAGGAGAGGAACTCGAAGTCATGACATCAACACTCTCACCTGAGACGCTGTAGTGCAGCGGTGTTGAATTAGGGCAGCAACACTCTCACCGGAGACCATAGAATTAGGAATTTGAATACTAGAATGGAAATGAACCTTATGATGGGATAAAGGTCAGCCATTTTGGTCAGGGAATTGGACAACCATGGTTTGCCAGTGCTGTGATGAGATATTGTGTAAAATGATGGATTTGAAGAGTTTATCTGCACTGTATGTTAGCTAGCTAGCCAGCCATCCAGTTTTAGAGGAATGATTCCATTAATTTTTCTAATTAATTGCTAATATGCCAACATTCCATTCAAACAATGCAGTCAATCCACAGCCATGCACTGGCTAAAATCAGTTGATGATAGGGATTTAGACAAGTTGTAAATGCAACAAGTACTGATATTGTATCATATAATAGCACTCACAGCTTTACAAGAAAACTCAAATGGAGACATTTATGGTTTATTTACATATACTGTATTCTAAGGTTATTTATACAGAAATTACATTTAAAAAATAATAATAATAATACATTGGGCAGAATGCCAAAGACATAGACAAAACAGGTCATTATTCACCATTTGTAGAATGTTAGCTCAAAGTCAGCTGACATGGTTGTTGTTAAAGCTAAAAACAATGTGCGTGTCAAACAGAAGAGGAATTGATTGGACAATAGACTGATGATAGTACATACACTGTACAAGCACATCAACATTCAAAAACTATACTTTGCAACCACTGCTCTTTCAATCCAGACTAATTTGCGTGTGATGCTTCTTGGTAAATACAGAGTCCATTTGCAGAGGAGGTGGTGACCTGACATACTGCCAAATAGATCAAGGAGTGGGCTGGCCCTGGTTTCCTCTGACACACACAGAGCTCCTCACCTCAGGAATCAGTACCCCTATTCAGGCCAATTCAATATGTGTAATATTCTGCTCTTTTACACTATAATTTAACAAAATGTAACATTGGCAGTCTAAAAAACAGCCTTGAAAGCTAATGGGAATCTAAATGTCTGAAATGGCACCCTACTGTGGTCCTCTGTAGCACGGCGCTTGTAACGCCAGGGTAGTGGGTTCGATCCCCAGGACCACCCATACACAAAAATGTATGCACGCATGACTGTAAGTCGCTTTGGATAAAAGCGTCTGCTAAATGGCATATTATTATTACCTTTGATCAGAGTCCATAGGGCCCTTAGACTACTTGTTCTAAATCAAGTGCTGATCACGTCAAAGTGTTGTGGTGAATGTGTGACACATGAACACATGCAATGAATGTTGTCAGAGCTGTATGAAGTAGTAGTACGTACATACAATCCATCCATACAGGCACAGGATAGTACAGTCACATATATATATATACATATATGGCTCTGGTCCAGGCCATCAATCTGCCAAACCCATCCTTGTGAGGTGATCTTTTCACCTGGAGAGGAACTCAAATGGAGGGGACTTGATTTTTCATAGTCATAAAAATGTCAAAGCAGATCAAAATTTGAATGTTTTACATACTACAAGTTGATATACACCCTTCAATTTCCTCAGGAATTGTTTTTTGTATAGTTGTTTGGATTATAATAAATGGCTATACATACAGTACCAGTCAAAAGTTTTAGAACACCTACTCATTCAATAGTTTTTCTTTATTTTTACTATTTTCTGCATTGTAGAATAATAGTGAAGACATCGAAACTATGAAGTAACACATATGGAATCATGTAGTAACCAAAAAAGTGTTAAACAAATCAAAATATATTTTATATTTGAGATTCTTCAAATAGCCACCCTTTGCCTTGATGACAGCTTTGCATTCTCTCAACCAGCTTTACCTGGAGTGCTTTTCCAGTAGTCTTGAAGGAGTTCCCACATATGCTGAGCACTTGTTGGCTTCTTTTCCTTCACTCTGCGGTCCGTCTCATTCCAAACCATCTCAATTTGGTTGAGGTCAGGTGATTGTTGAGACCAGGTCATCTGATGCAGCACCGCATCACTCTCCTTCTTGGTAAAATAGCCCTTACACAGCCTGGAGGTGTGTTGCGTCATTGTCCTGTTGAAAAACAAATGATAGTCCCACTAAGCCCAAACCAGATGGGATGGCGTACCACCAAAGTGGTTTCTTTGCAGCAAATCGACCATGAAGGCCTGATTCACACAGTCTCCTCTGAGCAGTTGATGTTGAGATGTGTCTGTTACTTGAACTGTGTGAAGCATTTATTTGGGCTGCAACTTCTTAGGCTGGTAACTCTAATGAACTTATCCTCTGCAGTAGAGGTAAATCTGGGTCTTCCATTCCTGTGGCGGTCCTCATGAGAGCCAGTTTCATCATAGTGCTTGATGGTTTTTGCGACTGTACTTGAAGAAACTTTCAAAGTTCTTGATTGACATTTTCTGTATTGGCTGACCTTCATGTCTTAAAGTGATGATGGACTGTCATTTCTCTTTGCTTATTTGAGCTGTTCTTGCCATAATATGGACTTGGTCTTTTACCAAATAGGGTTATCTTCTGTATACCCCCCCTACCTTGTCACAACAGAACTGATTGGCTCAAACGCATTAAGAAGGAAAGAAATTCCACAAATTAACTTTTAAGAAGGCACACCTGTTAATTGAAATGCATTCCAGGTGACTACCTCATGAAGCTGGTTGAGAGAATGCCAAGAGTGTGCAAAGCTGTCATCAAGACAAAGGGCTTCGGCGCGTTCAAATCGCGGGCCGGCTTTAGGACCGCGCAGCATCCAAACCAAGTGACGCAGAGGGCTGCCGTCGATTTCATGCAGAAATGGAGACCCGAAGCTACGTTTTGAGTGTTTGTTTCATGTAAATACACCAACTAAAACCAAAGTTATGATAATTTCAATTCCATGAAAAAAGTGCGTCAAAATATGCGCTCTTTTATGAGCGCTTTGCATTTATTATAATAACTTTGTCGTCTTTTGTGATAAAAAGGAACGGAAAAAAACGTGTGCTTGTGCTAACCCGGTTCTTCAGGATGCACACGAGTATATAAACATTCATTCCCATGACAGCAGTATCGTTTTTGTGAAGCAATATGAGGCGCACACTTCACGTTGAACAAGCCGTCGACTTGTTATTCCAAATGAGCGATGAAGAAACTTTGGAAAGTTCGTCGTCAGACAATGAGAGTGGCCAGGATGACTTCGAGGACCCTGATTTTGTTGCTGAAAACGTGAGGTAAGAAGACAAACATTTTTCTAAAATGAATTTGTTTTATTGCTTTCGTTTATCTTACTATAGTATTCTATTCTACTTCACTGTAGTGCAAATGCCAATGAACATCTTGAACTTTGAATAATCTTGAATCCGTTTACCTGTTTTGTATAGTGACGACGACGACGACGAGCAGCCTGGGCCATCAACAGCCCCCACCCCCACAACAAGCCGACGGAGGCCATCACAGAGGGGGCGTGGAAGGAAGGATCAGGCCAAGACCAGGTCAAGATCTCCAGCCCAGTCAGCAGCACAGCCAGAACAGAGCTCTGAGCCATGGAAAACAGAGACTGATCCTGACACTGCCCCACAAGCCAGTAGGTTCATGCCCCGCAGACCACCAGGAGCCCAGGTGGATTTGCATTCAGGGCACACACCAAAGGACCTCTTCCTGCTCTACTTCGCCACAGATACAATGAGGACAATCTGCAGAAACACCAACAAACAGGCAGCAAGAAATCAGCAGAAGGGGAGCAAATATCAGTGGACTGACGTTGATGTGGAGGAACTGCACAGATTTCTGGGTCTCCTCATCCACACCTCATTGGTGACTCTGCCTAGTATCCAGGACTACTGGAAACAAAGCCACATATTGTCTGTTTCATTGCCAGCGAAGGTCATGCCAAGAGACAGATTCCGGTCCATCTCATGGAACATCCACCTAAGTGATCCAGAGGAGGATGTCATAAATGACCAGCGCAAAGGTACACCCCAGCATGACAAACTGTTCAGGGTCAAACCTCTGATGGACGACATTCGCACTGCCTGCCAGGCTCATTACCATCCTAAGAAGGAACTGTCAGTCGACGAGAGGATGGTGGCTACAAAAGCCAAAACTGGCATGACCCAGTACATGAAGGACAAGCCTAACAAATGGGGGATCAAGCTCTTTGTGTTGGCAGAGTCTAACAATGGCTACACTCTAAACTTCAACGTGTATGTTGGGAAAGCACACACACCCAGCGTGCATGGACTTTCATATGATGCTGTTATGGACCTCATTCAGCCATCACATCTTGGTACAGGATACCATATTTATATGGACAATTTCTACACCAGCCCAAAACTGTTCCTGAGTTTGGGAAGTATGAAGTTTGGAGCCTGTGGGACCTACAGAAGCAACAGAAAAGGGTGTCCTAGTGGCAGAGAAAATGCCCTCACCAGCAAATCGAAGAGGGGGTCTGTGAGATGGATCAGAGAGGATCGCCTGGTCTTTGTGAAGTGGATGGATACGCGGGAGGTGTCGGTGTGCTCCACAATCCACCCAGCGTTTTCGGGCGAGACAATCAAGAGGAAGGTGAAGGAAGGACCTGGACGCTGGGTAGCAAAAGACATTCCCTGCCCTACCCCCATCATGGCCTACAATAAGTACATGGGAGGGGTTGACCTGTCAGACCAGCTTCTCCAGTATTACTCAACCCATCGCAGAACTGCTCGCTGGTACCGTACCCTCTTCCTGCATTTTTTGGACATGGGAACAACAAATGCATACATCCTGCACTGTGACATCAGTGCGACCCAACAGGTCACACCCATGACGCACAAGAACTTTGTGGCAGAACTTGTGGCCCAGCTGTGCGGAGTGACCCAGACAGGGGTTCCACTTCAAAAAAGCACCAGCCATGTTCCTGTGGCCATTGCCAATGTTGCAGAGGCCAAAGACAAAGCCACAGCAGGCCGCAGGGTTTGTCAACGCTGTAAACAAGTTGACAAGAAGAGGTTTGTCACACCATGGAAGTGCAAGGCCTGTGATGTGGCTCTCTGTGTCATTGTGGACAGGAACTGTTTTGAAGAGTGGCACAAATAGGGTAAAGGCCAGTGGCTATACCTACTTTTTTTGTAAATAGTTGTGTATTGCTTGTATATATCTCAAGAATACTTTTATATGTTCATATTTGCACTTTGTGGTTCAATTTGAAGCTTTTTTTTTTCATTTTGGACAGAAACTGTTTTGAGGAGTGGCACAAAAAGGTTTAGGGTTAGAATAGAAGAAAAACGCCAGTGGTTATACCTACTTTTTATTGTAAATAGTTATTTATTGCTTGTATATATCACCAAAATACTTTTATATGTTCATATTTGCACCTTGTGGTTCAATTTGAAGCTTTTTAAATGCTTGGTTCACCATGTTTGAGGGTTTTACAATAAAAAAACCATCTTTTTTCTAAACGGACTTTGTGTTTTCTGTGTGTGTTTGGGTCCAGTGTGTTGAAATAGTATGTCAAAGTGAAAAACTTACTAACAGATCATATAGGTGAGGTTGTGCTGAAAAAAAAGATACCCAACATTGGTCTGGTAAACATTTCTTTATGTAGTATATCAGGGCAAAATTGAAGGTACCCAAAAACGGCCAAAAAAGCTCCAGACTCCGAAGAGTTAATACCTGATTCCATATGTGTTATTTCATAGTTTTGATGTCTTCACTATTATTCTACAATGTAGAAAATAGTAAAAATAAAGAAAAACCCTTGAATGAGTAGGTGTTCTAAAACTTTTGACCGCTAGTGTATATGACATATTCTTTGAGATAATCAAACACATTGGCAATATTATTACTCAGCCCATATATAAACAACCAATATTTACATTTCTACTGTCATTATTTCATTATAATCGTACAGTATTTGCTCCCCATATTGTTTAACACATGACATGTGCAACTAATGTAATATATTTCAGTTATAGCTGTGACTCAACAGTTTTTATGGGAGACTTCCAGGAATGAACATACTCATAAACATGTGTCCAGAATAACGTTGTTTTTGTAATTATGATACAAATTGATACTGTCAACTACAAGCATCTGCATAAACAAATTGTTCTGCATCTAACATCAGACAGGACCAAAATGAGTGAACGCTGAAATGAGATGCAGCACAGGAGCATGGAAAAACACATGGTTACACGGTTATAAGAGCACTGCAAGGCTTCCACAGCATCCTATAAGCGTTAAATCCCATACTGTGCAGACAGTGGAGTTATCCTTACCTATGCAGAGCTGTACAACATACGCGTAGTAGGACCAAGCCACTATGAGGGTGATAAAAATAACTGGAATCCAATACAAAACTGTCTGACAGCTCCGTTTGATACTACGCGAGCCCGACGGCGCCATACTCTATTTAGACACCATTTGTTTGAAATTAAGTTTTTGTCTGTCTTTCACTGCATTACTGCCGGTAAATCGAGTATGATCGACAGCCAGGACGTAGCACTTCTGTTCTGCTGCCTCCACCTCGTTTCGCAGAGCGCGGTAGCGCGACGTCTCTCCTTCCTCTCTGCGCTGCAAAATATTGAGCACCACCCCTTTTTCACCAAGTTGCCATGACGTTCGTGGGATACTGCAAACACATTTTCATTCTTTGGAAAGAGCCCATTGAGCCTCTGACCATTGATGCAGAGAAGATAATGTGAATCACCATTTAAGTTGTTTTTAATGTTGTCTTGCCATAGAGCTAACGTTGTTGAAGGTAGTCCTATATGATGAAGAAAAAAATAATCAGACCTTATGCTATATTAAATGTGCCTTTTTGTAGAATAGGCCTATTGGTAGGCATTTTTGTTTGATTGTATTTTTATGTAAATAAGGGAAACAGGCTGTCAGTGCATAAGCTGGTAATAATATATAGCCACTCTGTTTCAAATGTCTGAGGAATGTGTGACACCATCAGCTGGTAATTAGCTGACCAAATATTTCCTTCAACACATTATTGTGTACTCCTGAGTGGCGCAGTGGTCTAAGGCACTGCATCGCAGTGCTAACTGTGCCACTAGAGATCCTGGTTCGAATCCAGGCTCTGTCGTAGCCGGCCGTGACCGGGAGACCCATGGGGCGGCGCGCAATTGGTCCAGGGTAGGGGAGGGAATGGCCGGCAGGGATGTAGCTCAGTTGATAGAGCATGGTGTTTGCAACGCCAGGGTTGTGGGTTCGATTCCCACAGGGGGTATAAAAAAATATATATAATGTAAGTCGCTCTGGATAAGAGCGTCTGCTAAATAATGTAATTGAGGTCAGGGGTTATGAAAGTGTATGTGTGTGTGTGAGTGTGAAATCCAGAACAAAAAGGACACAAAGCTATTGATTGTTCTTAACAACTTTATTTACCAAGTCAATGTAACAGCCTGCAACAGCGTGCGTAATCCATTTGATAATCTAAACAAAGTTCTGTAGAGAGAGCTGTCATTCACATGACTTCCAAACATCATTCAAAAGAGGCAAACTAAGAGGAGATGTAGGATATACACATTACTAATGTATTCTGTTATATCATGCAAAGAAGTAGGCTAAGTAGACAAATCCATTTAATTTGATTTAATATGTAACATATGAGATAATATTGTATAATGTCTAGATGCTTTTTATAGTGGAGATCAAGTTTATAAATTGCCTGGCTGGGCTGATGAGACAGTGGATTGCGCAGTCAGATGGAACAGAGTAAATAGGCATTTTAACATCATAGATTTAGCCGGTGGCAACTTGTGGAATAGACACCGGCTGGAATGCGGTTTTAACCAATCAGCATTCAGGATTAGACCCACCCATTGTATAATGTGAGACATTGGCACTAGCAAACCAAGGGCTATGTTCAATCTGTATCGCTGGAGCATTACAGATAGCATGCTAAAAATGTAAAGGTAATTTCCTATTGAGCCGACATCTGCATTCATGAATGCAGTCTCTGCTAATGCGGGAACATTGCCTTTAAATTTCAACCACGCTGTAATGCTGAATTTCCGTGATACGGATTGAATAGAGCCCCAAGTCTCTTTTCAAGCAGGAAACCCACCACATCTGACCAGAACTACATTCCATAGAAAACATAACTTAAATGCATTTACACTATATTTGACATTTGAAAATATATATGTCATGATGGTACACAGTAGAACAAGATTTTCCTGGGTAACCCATTGAGAAATAAACACAGGTACGCCTCTGAACAGTAATCTCATGTTACACAAACAGTGTATTTTGCCTTTAGTAAAAACAATTATCGCAAATTCATAAAGTCCTCATTGTCTAGAATCCCTGTCAGTAGGCTGAATAGGCCTAGTATGAATAGGTGTGTAGTCAATATACACACTGAATTTCTCCATTACATCAGCGTAAACCCTTGATTATAATAATTATTAACGGAGTTAGCTGCCTCTATTTACACAATGAAGATAGAGATAAACCCCCCATTTGAAAGGTGTTAGCTAGCTGGCTCTGAGTTATTTGAGAATGAGCTGCAGAAGGCAGCCGTGTGAACAGAACACAAGAGGGAGGCTGTACTCCCCTGCGTAAGCTGATCTGTGCAGTGGGCTGCAGACAGGCTTGGAGAAAGTATGTCAGCAATGCATAGAGGCAGATTAGCAGGTTTAGGACTGGGAGGGAACCACACTGAACAATGCTACACACAGTCAGAGCTACAAAAACAACCAAATGGGTTTTTCATTTTCAGAGACTTACAGTGATAAACAAACAAATGAATACGGTAAAATTGTGAATAAATACTGTACATAGATAGATAGATTAATCAATAATGAATTCACCCAGGGTTAATAAATCTGCTGCAACAATAGGTTGGAGTTTCCAGTGACCCTATCAGCTCGTGTGACTTGTAGAAGACCAGGAAGGTGTTACACAAGTAGTCCTGATCAATAGCATTTCATCCCCTGATTTAACATTTTTTTTAAACTATCTGGTAGAAAAATAAAATACCAGCAGTGCAACTTAACATTTATATTATGACCATCACAGCACTACAAAACATATTGTTGATTTCCATACGTAACAGACTGAAAGCTTACCAACAAGCTTAAGACTTCAGGTATTTTAAATGGCTTCCTTACTTCTAGGGTCTGTTTTCTCACATCAATCTCAACTTGAAAACACTTCCAGTAGCATCCAACTAGGCCTTGGTGAGGAGAATCCTATTTCTACTTTTTAGACTACTATGCAGAGACTGACACATAAATCTATCCTTCTGTCATCTTCACATTGATAGCAGAAGGAACTGTACTGTTGTTTTGAATTATCTTCATGAATCAGGGGAAGTCTATCCAGGTAGAGAGGGGTGCAGGACATTCACCTGGTGATCTGCAGAAGGAAAAGTACTTATTATAGAATACATTGAAGAACATAGCACATACAGCATCTAACACTATCGACCTGTTCTGTGGCAACATAAAACTACTGGAGAAAAAACTGAACTGCTGAGCAAAATTTCACGATACATGGCCCCATTCATTCTTTCCTTTACATGGATCAGTCGTCCTGGTCCCTTTGCAGAAAAACAGCCCCAAAGCATGATGTTTACACCCCCATGCTTCACAGTAGGTATGGTGTTCTTTGGATGCAACTCAGCATTCTTTGTCCTCCAAACACGACGAGTTGAGTCTTTACCAAAAAGTTATATTTTGGTTTCATCTGACCATATGACATTCTCCCAATCCTCTTCTGGATCATCCAAATGCACTCTAGCAAACTTCAGACGGGCCTGGACATGGGGGACACGTCTGGCACTGCAGGATTTGAGTCCCTGGCGGCGTAGTGTGTTACTGATGGTAGGCTTTGTTACTTTGGTCCCAGCTCTCTGCAGGTCATTCACTAGGTCCCCCCGTGTGGTTCTGGGATTTTTGCTCACCGTTCTTGTGATCATTTTGACCCCACGGGGTGAGATCTTGCGTGGAGCCCCAGATCGAGGGAGATTATCAGTGGTCTTGTATGTCTTCCATTTCCTAATAATTGCTCCCACAGTTGATTTCTTCAAATCAAGCTGCTTACCTATTGCAGATTCAGTCTTCCCAGCCTGGTGCAGGTCT